AAAGAGTCCCTGGGTCAAATTCTCAAGGAAAAAAAAATACTTTGCTCATTCCTCCAACCTTCATCCCAGTTGCCGGTCTCTTCTGGGAGTTGGCAGGGCATGGTGACTGGGAAGAGGATGAATTGAGACAGCTCATTCTCAACAGGCCCTCAGACCCGTCCCTCTGTTCTGCTAGCCCAGCACAAACTCAGCAGGTCTCAGCCTGGGAATCTCCCCACCCCAAGCCTGCCCACCCCTTTCCTCAAGAGCACCCCAGCCTGGCCCAGGCTCTGCATTGCCCAGGCCTGATTTTCCAGAGGAAACGACTTTGAGATTGGCATGAGCTTAAGGTGTGGCTACTGTGGTCCTGGCCAGCGCTGAGTGGAGAGCAACAGGGCGGAGTAGGGGCAGGGCAGGGTGGGGAGACGACAATGCACACCCACTCCCCAGGGCCTGCGTGCTTTGCACAAGTGTGGAAACATTTTTCTCCTGAGTCTTCAATTGAGAGCAATTTAAATTCCTGTAGCTGTTGGGGTGGAGCCTGAGAACCTGGGGTGCGCTGGTGGGTGGAGCCAGGGAGGGAGATTGAGTGGAGCACCTAGAGCTGACTCCGAGAGTCACAACCCGGGAGTCACAACCCGGGTAAAAACTCAGAATGCAGAATCTGAGGCCCCTCGGGGGAAACAATAAGCACCCAGGACATGGCCAGACCAACAGGGACTGGCCGTGGAGCAGAGAAATGGGCAAATCGAGCTTGGGAGGGAGAAACAGTGGGGTTAGAAAGAGCATTGCAGAGGCAGGAGTGAGTAAAAATGGGGGTAAAGGGAGCTGTGAGATGACTCAGTGAGAAAAGGTGCTTGCTGCCAAGTGTGAAGACACGACGTGAATCCCTGGGACCCACATGGTAGGAGGAGAGAACTGAGTCCTGTAAGCTGCTCTCTGATACACACATATCCACATGCACACAGACACAGACACACACACACACAGACACACACAGACACAGACACACACACACACACAGACACACACACACAATGTAATTTAATTTTTTTTAAAGAATGCTGACCCCCTTCTTGACAGCAATAAGATGGCAGCTGCAACAGGCCAGGCAGTGACTTTCATGATCCACAGACCCTTCACCAATCCAGGACATAGGAATGGGCCATGGGCTTTGTCCCACGCACCCACCCACCAAGAGGACACTACCCGTGCATTCTGTGGTTCCCGAGTGCCCCCTTCAGGCTGGCCTCCCTCTGCTGGAGCCCACATCCCCCATCAGGTCCAGGGACAGGAAAGCAGGAAAGGGGCAGTAGGAGCCAAGTCCCTGGACTCAAGCTTTGTGCCCTGACCAGGTATACCCACAATTAGATCACAGGAAACCCCGACTCTGGCCCAGGTGCTGCACCTGGGGAAGGCTTGGAGTGCTTCTCAATCTTCAAGGTCCAAGCACAAGAGGGTGAACTGACCTGGGTCAGTAGCAGTGTCCCCTCTCATACCCCATCTTCCTCCTGGTAGGATTACTAGACACACTGCACCCTCAGAGAAAGAGGCCACACTCCGATAGGCAAGTACCAGTGGCTGTATTGTGGATACCCAGAGTCCAGTCTGGTTTCTGGAATCCCCAACTTCAAGTGAGGTCATTCAGAGAGCTTGATTCTGGGCTTTATGTTTCATTCCCCCAACAGGATAGGCTCAAGAAAGCTGAGTTTTTGCCTCAACCTTTCCAGAAACCATGCTGTACAGTCGGAGGAGAGGCCTGCCTGAAAGCAAACTGAACTCAGAACAGTCCTGACCATGTATCTGGAGGACAGGCCTCAGTAGCAGTGCCTGCCATTGCAGCCTCCAGCAGTCTGGCCAAGGACACAAATCCCAGGTCGGACAAAACAGTGGTAAGCTGGCTTCCCCAAACCTTGAGCCCCCGAGAGGAACTGATCACATATGATAGCCAGCAACAGTAGTGGTTAACACTGACTATCCAATTAATCTGCAGCCAATACCACACCAATCACTACACACATTGTTACAGTCAACCCTCACAGCCACCCCACCTTTAGATAGGGCAACTCGGGAACAGAAGCAGCAAGGACTTGCCCAAAGCTCCCAGAGTCGGGACCTGGCAGAACCAGATTTTGACAAGTTCTAAGTCCAGAGCAAGGGTCTGCAGCTTCAAAAGTTGATCTCAAGGCTAATGGATCCCTGGAGACCCCTGTTTTTACCTGCCCCACCTCTAAAGTGGGCAGAGTATAAATGAGCTCTGCCCAGGACAGGTTGAGACAAACATAAGGGAATGCAAATCTGTTGGCAAGTTGGAGCAAGGGTATCTCCTGCTCCAATCCAGGGCTAAGTGACACATGTGAGTGGACATGGAGTGCTGAGAGCTCCATGAGGCAAGGGGGACCCAGAGTAGTACAAGGTTGAAATTAGAGAGGTTGTTCTTGGGGGTGTACAGAAAGATGGGCACACAGGAGCCAGGGTATCAAGTGTGCACTGGTCCTACTGCCACCTTCCTGATAGCCCCACCAACTCTTAGGTAGTCATGAGGCTCTGCCCATCTTGGCCATCCTTGCACCTCTGGTGTTAGACCCAGTTCCATGGTAAATGTAAGAGCAACTTATGGAACGGGTAAAGCAAGTAAGACTTTATACTTGTGCTAGGGAATCCATCTGGGTGTTTCTGTGCCCTTGTCTATGATCCCTCTGTCCCCTGGAAGTAACAGGGATAACGTGGAGGACCACTTGGCCTCAACACATCCCTTTTCTGTTGAACTTAGGAGGGCTCATCACCTACGTATGGCTCTGCACTCTGGTACTCTCTTGTTCTCTCCTCATGAGTGAGACAAGACAGGACCACCTCCTCTGACTCCAGTTATTAGTGAATGCTTCATGACCCATAAAGACCAGGGACGTCAGCCAGGCACAGTGACAAATGCTGTTAAGGTTTCTCTTGGATATAGAATCTAGAAGAATGGAGTCAATAGGAAGAGAGAGTAGAACGGAAAGGCAGAGGATGACATGTAGCGTCTTGGGTTCTACCAGTTGATAATAATATATTGTGTGTCGTGTATTGCAAAATATCACAGTCTTCCACTTCCTAAGGAAAAGACCTCTCCTTCTAGACACCTAAAGCAAGGCCAGTACCAAGCCCTACCTATGTATGTGATGGTTTTCCAACACATGCTGAAGTTTGCAATTTAGGCACAGCAAAAAGCTAACGAAGTAAGCAATAATAACATAGAACAATAGTATTAACATGCTGTAACAAAAAGCTATTTGAATGCCCCCTTCTCTTTTACCCCCCCCCCATCTTGGCACCTCTGTGAACTACTTGTGTCTGCTCTTCTTGGTGACTGAGGGTAACTGAAGGAAAATGGTGGACTGGGGTCAGGACATGGGAACTACTACAGCTAAAAACTCATATCCCCACTACAAAGAAATGATGAGCGTTTGAGTTTTTAAAAAAATCTTCCCAACACCCCAATGACCTTAGGAGAAAAAATAGTTGGGGGAAAATTCAGAGTAGAACAGGCTGCCTCTAGATGCCCCCCCTCACACACTTCTCCCCTGACTTCCCCTCCATCGCACCAGGACTCAGGGCACTTTTCTCCAGAAACCCTCCTGCCTGCCGTGGCCCTGTCTGCACCTTTTATGCCCATCAAAGGCACTCTGTGACTGGCACAGTGTCCGGCATATAGTCAGAGCTCGGGACATAGTTACTGAGAGATGGATGCGATACAGTTTGAATGTGAAATGAGCACACACACACACACACACACACACACACACACACACTGCTCTGCCCCACATGTCCCACCGGCTCATGTGATTGAACACCTCATTCTCCAATGGCAACACTGTTTGGGAGGTTGTAGAAAGGCAATGAGGCCCAGGAGGTAGGACTTGAGGGTTATAGGCCCACTCCACCTCCTGTCCAAGCTATTTGAACCTCCTGATCCATGGAGTCAGGAGCAAGCGCCTTGCCCTCCGTTGTTTAAACTGTGAACCCAGGTGAACCTTTCCTTTCTTGAGTTGCTTATGTCTGGTATTTTTGTCACAGCAACAAGAGTAGCAACTAATAGAGACGGATGAGTAAGTGAAGCCACGACCACAGGCTAAGCCCCTAGGACCGTGTTCTTTTCATGTCTGATGGCTAACGTCTGTTACAGGCACATAGCTCAGGATAAATAGGGAGTATGGTGTCCAGAGAGCAGGACAAGTGATGTCTGTAGGAACAGACTGACCCAATAGTGTGCGCTAGAAGATAAATCCTCTACACCTGGGAGATCACAGGGAAAGTTCTGAGACAGCACTCACACGGACCTGCTGGCAGCCGGCAAAGGGAGAACAGGAGAAAGGATTTCAGCAGAGGGAAACGGCAGGAAGGCTGGCTGGTACGGGAGAACCTGCCCCCTCGGGGGATCGCCCTAGAGAGCTGTTGAATTGGGAGTTCTACTATCTCTTGTGGATTCTCTGTCCATCTGCTCAGAAACTGGCTACCATGCTGTCCTCTTAGCTCTGGGATCCTTAAGGCCTAGGAAATATGCAGATCATGGGAAAGGGGAAACCAAGGCACACAGACTAACCCAAGCCTCTTGGCAGTTCTGGCCTGAACAGCTGCCCAATGAAACCATCCTTCGTTCCTCCCTCGAGGGCTCCCTGCCCCTCAGACAGTGGGCTCTTAGTGCCCAGGCCAAGAGGAAAAAGACAACACGAACCATCCAAAGAGGCCAATTGTTCCCAGCAAATGACTCACACGGGGAATGCTCCCTCCCAATGTGACAGCCCTCCTCTCCAGTACGCTGTTCCTGGTGACTCACAAAGGCTAAAATCACAGACCCTGTCTGCTGTTCACACCTCCTTCCTGGACTCTGAGAACGCATGTGCACTGCTCAGACACCACCTTCTCACCTGTAGGGGGTAAAAGAAGACCGGGCTGGCGCAAGTTCCCCCAAGCCGAGCAGATAGGAGGGTATCGGTTCCCTGTGACACTTGAGGGAAATGACAGAAATACCATTCCTCGTGTGCAGTGTGCTGGCCTTTTATTACTGGAGTGGTATGGGCACAAGGGTCAGGCAGAGTACTGGCTTCTAGCTAGCCCAGCTCCCACTTTCCAGACAGGAGTCTGCATCAGGTATCCAGGAGGACCCAGAGCTGGGATGCTCAGGGCAGGGACACAGGCAAGGGGCAGAGCTTTGGTGAGAGCAAACTGTCTCTATTTCCAGCGTCCGGTGACTTTGGTCTTTCCACGAGTTTTGGAGCTGCAGGAGAATCAGAACCCATCAGATGGAGGGAGTGGGGGTAGCAGTTTCCAGTGGGGCAAAGGCTGGGTGAAGGGAAGCTAAGGGTTGAAATGAACATACTGGAACAGGGGTAGAATGTGACAGCCGCCTTGCCCCTCCCACCCCACCCTGCACAGGCAAGCAGTGGCTAAGGCTGAGAGAAGGAAGCTATGAACTGGAGGAGAAGAGGAAGGCCTGGGGTCAGAACCCTCACAGCGGGATGAGGGGGGGCAGGATGCTCGATGAGAGAAGGGCCACGGACACTTACACTTTCTGGTTGTCGTTGATCCTGTTTCGCAGAACGTTGATCTGGAAGAAAAGCAGGGAAGATAAAAGCTGAAGTTGGGGCTCAGCCAGTGAGGTCTTGGAGGGGGGAAGGGGCTCGGTGTTAGAAGCAAGGGTTCCCAGGGGGAGGAGGAAAGCACCAGAACATTGTTGGGGACCGGTGAGTGAGTTGAAGGGACAGACTGGGAATAGGGAAAGGGGTTTGGAGGGGCGGCGGCGGTGGGGACTAGGTCAAACCAGGAGCGTGGCAGAAGCAGCTTACTTCGTATTTCTGCTGCTTGAACTTCTCCTGCAGGTCAAACTTCTCGGCCTCCAGGTTGTGAATGCTCTGCCATAGCTCCTTGGCCTTCTCTCTGCAGGAGACACAGTGGGCGTGGAGGGGGGAGCAATGAAGACAGACCCCCAGTGACTTTGGCTTCACCCTGGTCCACAGCCTACACCTTCCCCCCAGCGTGTCCTTGCACATTTGGGTCTGCAGAGGGTGCCTCCAGCCTATGCGATGGGTCTGGTCACTCTGAAATTCTGGGTCCCAGCTACGGTGCCCAATGTTCAGGGACTGACACCAAGGGCTGCCACAGCAGAGTTCTGGGAGTCCTGGGAGTTGTGAAGAAGTACTCCTGGTACTGTGAAGCATCTAATTCAATCCTCCTTCCCACCTCCTGTGGGAAGGTGGGCAAATGGGAGCTCAGAGAGAAAGAAAGCTCGCCCCGGAAGGCCCGCTGAGGCCCAACGCCAGCCCTAGTAATGAGCCTTGGTAAATGTGTGAGGAAGTAACTCCCCCTGGTGGTTGACAGTAGGAAGTACCTTCTACCCCACTCTAAAGAAGAGTGCCGGGGGCCACCCAACCAACAGCCCCACCTCAGCTGGTCTTCATTCAGGTGGTCGATGGCCAGAACCTTCCTCCTCTCAGCCAGGATCTTCTTCTTCTTCTCTCGCTCTGTCTGTCTCTTCCCACTCCTGCGCTCTGTCTGAAGGGGGTGGTGAGCAGGGACACTTGTCTGGAGATGGCTCCTCCCTGTCCCCTGGCCCTCCCAATACCCTGGGGTTTCTATCCTGTTGCTCTAGCAACGCGACACACAGTTACCTTCTGGATTCCCCCCAGAGAAACTGATGCAGGGTCAAGGAGGGGCCTACTACCAGTCTCTTCCAGACTCCCTCCTCCCACAACTCCCCCTCCAGCAGGGTGCGCTCCCCTCCCAGGGAGTACTCTACAGCTAAAGGGAGGAGGAAGAGGACTCGAGGTTTTGTACCCACCTGAGCTTGCTAAACCAGGAAACCATGAGAGAAAGACCCAGAGAGAAAGACCAAGACCGCCACAGAGACACGGAGAGAAGAGGTGGGAAACAGGAAGACAGTAAGGACAAAGCGATTCGCTGCTCAGCAGGGGCTGCCCGCTGTGCCAAGCACAGGTCTGGGGCTCAGGGAAGTGAAATTTTGATAACATTGGCCTGGTACGGTCACTATGAGGACAGAGACACAGTGGCAGAGCTATGGACTTGATAACTAAAACAAAAGATTCTGATGCCTCCATGCATAAAGAAAATCGCCGGGCATGGTGGTACTCAGGAGGCAGAGGCAGTCAGATCTCTGTGAGTTCAAGGTCAGCCTGGCCTACATGGTGAGTTCCAGGACAGCCAGGACTACACATTGAAGCTTTGCCTCAAAAAAAAAAAAAGACAAAGAAAATCAAGCCCCAGCCCTGACTGGGACTGGGAGGGGGGTTATCTAGTTATCTAGTAGGCACAAGTGTCCACAAGCGAGCCACCCCACATCTGTGGGGCATACGCTTTCCATGTTAGCTTGTCACCTCTCTGAAGCTGCAGGGCAGGCTGTGTGTGGAAACAAGATCATAGGTTACTGCAGGCCATGCTGCTGTATATGGCAGAATCAGGTCTCTAACCAGAGCTCTGACCCCAGGACCCAAGGTTCTCCTGGTGGCACCCGGTCACCCTGGGAAGCCATCATGAGGAGGCATATTAGTGTTCTCACCTTTGCACACAGCAAACCCCTCCTAGGAAAGCCATGGTCAGGCTACCAGCCACTCAGGGGCTAAGCATGGGAGGCCTTAGACTTCAGCCACAGCAGTTGGGAATTTCTTCAGCCCCGAGGATACACCGAGATCCCCTGGAGCCCAGTGCTGCTTCCCACCTACCTTCTGGATGTACCCTCCAAAATGCATCATGTTGGACAGAGCCTTCTTCTTGCGGGCCTCGTCCTCAGCCTTCTTCCTGTTCTCCTCCTCCTCACGCCGGGCCCTCTCTTCCTGATTTGGGGTGGGGGGGACCAGGGTGGCAAATGAATACATTAATGGCAAGGGTGAGAAACCAGACTCTGGGTTGAAGCTGGTGTTCTTTACAAATGAGGCCAACTTTCTTCCCACTGGACAAGGGGCTTTCTGGGGTACCCTCCGGCACAAGGTGGGCATACTGGAGTCTACTGAGTGGGTATTTGGATTGTGGTCTGAATGAGTTAAGCACTGGCTCACTCTGTAAAATCCCACCACACCCTCCGTCCCCATGTAGCCTGTACTAGGGAAGGGGCAGGGGCTGAATGTCCTAAAGTCATGAGCACAGGCCCCAGCGTGTCCTGTCTGTTGGAGTGACGTCCAAGCGTCTGTTGGTGTGACATCAACGCTGAGCCAGTGACCTGAACGTCTGTGGTCGACACTGCCGCTCAAGCTGATGTCTGTGACTGGAGAGCTCGGGGATTTCTGGGGCTCAGCGGCCGGGCTAGACTCACTCACAGCCAGAGCTCGGGGATTTCTGGGGCTCAGCGGCTGGGCTAGCCTCACTCACAGCCAGGCGGTTCTGCCGCTCCTTCTCCCGCTCATTGCGGATGCGCTGCTGCTCTGCCCGCTCTGCCCGCCGCTTTTCCTAGGGAGAGAGGTAGAAACCCCCGTGTGTGCCCCTGAGGGGTGTTAGTCCCAGTACAGGAACCAGGGAGTGGCCCTCTCCCATGTGCTTCTGCCCTCGGCCTGTGCCAGGGATGCAGACACGAGTGGCCCCTCCCAGGGGGAGCCTCTTCTGAAAGCCCACTGGAGCCTGTCTCAGTTCTGTGGGAAATGCTGAGGGGCTTCTCTTGTCTCCCTTAAGGACAATATCCACATTCTGAAGGACAATATCCACGTTCTGGCCCCAGCCCCAGCCCTGGCAGCTTCTTCTGCGCTCAAAGATACGTGACTGCGGTGCCCATCTGAGGAAAGTAGGTTGGCTACAGAAAAACAAGGAATCAAATGATCTTTCTCAGAGTGGAATTCCAGATGTTGTCTAGGACTCCACAGGCTGATCTTGTGCCTCCTGCATTAGGGAGGCAGCTACGCCCCACGGGTAGGAAGAGGGACAGGGAGAACACAGACTTTTGACTATCATTGCCCAGCCAGTGGTTAGGCCCAGCTGGAGCCGGAAGTTATCAGGCTCCCGCTGGCAAGGAGCATCCACACCGACAGGCAGGTGGCGGGGACCCAAGGGACGCAACATCCAACAGGCTGGCAGCTTGAGGCAGACTGCAGGGGCGGTGGCAGGAGGGTGAGGCGGACTGTGGAAGACTGACACCTACAATCCTGTCCTTGAGAGAGATCAGCTCCTCCTCCTCCTTCTTCCGGTTCTCAAAGTGGGCCTCGATCAGCGTCTGCAGCTCGTTCAAGTCCTTCTCCATGCGCTTCCTGTGGATGTCCTGTGGGGAGAGCCTGGCTGAGCCTGCCGTGCCTGCGAGATGGGTGGCCAGTGCAAACCGTACTGAGACTGTCACCCTGCACCAGCCTGCCAATGGCCTGCCTCAGCCCCAGCCCACAACATCAGGAGGTCCGATGCTCCTTAGAATCCTTGTCACCACCCCAGGTTGTCCCGCTCTACCCGCAGCCTCTACGCACATCAAAGTCCACTCTCTCTCCATCGGGGATCTTGGGTGGCACCAAGTTTGGCATGAAGAGCCTGCTGCAGAGAGGAGTGGAGGGTCAGGGTCACCAAAGCAACTGGAAGGGGGCGGGGGGAGGGACTATGTGTTCCTGGGCTGTCTTCCTGTAGGAGTGTTCTCTGTGATGTCAGCACCAATGTCTACCTCTCCTACTCAGACTTTCACCCAGCTAATTTCACTTTGTCCTCTCACTAAATCCCAGAAGGGGGCAGCACTGGGCTCCATTACGAAAATGGAGGCTTAAAACTACACAGCTGGCAAGCAGAAAGAGCTGAGATTAGATGACGACCCTGCACAGATCTCTGATCCTTGATTTCCTCACCTGCTCTTGGGCCTTCGGGAGCTGAGGAGAGCTGCTCCAGGATGCACAGAGCAGCCAGCAGAGAGACGAGCAGAGCTAAGACCTCCCCATCCCACCACACACACACACACACACACACACACACACACACACACACACTCAGAGGCCACTGGAGGCCATGAAGGTGCTACAGCGCCATCTGCTGGCAGCACAAGCATTGCCAAGAAGGAAAGGCTCCCTGTCTCAGTGGCGCCTCACTCAGCCACCAGATGTAGATCCAGGTATGGGACGGAGCTGCCCCGTCCCACCCTTTTGCAGCTCTCTGAAGCTGTCATGCCTACGTTGGCATGGTTTCACTGCTTGGCATCCCTTTCGCCCAGGTCCCACCCAGCCAGCATGGAGGTCATCCTGTGGGATAGGCAGTGTGTCCGTCCAAGGGGACGACCAGCCCTTCCCCATTCTGCAGATGAATGTAACTCCATCCATGTTAGTGAACATAGTAGGTAGTGGAGTCAGGGCGCAGTTCATCTCCCTTCCTTCCCCTCAGGCAGAGGCCTTCGGGTAGTATAAAACCTGTGCAACCCTCTGTGGTAGTCCGTGCCCACTACTGCCCCTGCTCGCGCTCCGTACACCACATCACTCCTGTCGCTTTCTTGTCGGCCTCCCTAACTGGCCTCCGCCCCCAGGGCTGTACGCAGCTGCACCCCACTCACCTGGGCTTGGGTTTGGACTCCTCGGCTGGACCATCTGGAGGAGAAAGAAGGAGGTATGGGGTCAGCAAGCCGGACTATTCACAGCTCCACCCTGAGCTCCACATCTGTGGGTCTCTGTTTACCGGTCTGCTAAGGGAGTCTCTCCCAACCCTGCTAAAACTGCACTTCTGTAATCACCAGCAGGCACACAGGGAACCTGGAGGTGACATACAGAGAATGGCTGGCTCTGTCTACGGGCTCAGAACACTAGACCTGGACACTCAGAGCCTTCTCTCATCTGTTCTGGCTTGGGAAGATGCTTCTCAGACTCCACAATGATGCAGGGGCTTGTGGGAAGGTTCCCAGGGGCTCCAACCCTAGAGCCCCTCCCAGGTCTGCCTTAATGTTTTGGGCCAGAGACTTCCTGGTAGCCATAGGACCAGGGAGCTAGTGGGCATGATTCCAAGGCCTGGGTGACTGTCCCCCGCAACCACCCACCCTGTGTCTTGAGTGACTGGAGCCAATTGATAGAGGCTGCAGCCTACCAAGAACCTTGAAATGATGTTGCCACAGTATGGACTATCTATGTCCTGGAAGTCCATCTTATAAACACCACACCTCACTGGCATTGCCTGGGTACCAGGACCTGGGATGTGAATGTAACTTCTGAGTCCACTACCCTGGACAGGCCAGGGGGCTAGATGCTGGTCCCCTTTCCTACTGGGCACTAACGCTGCATCTATGAGGTAGAGGACAAAGGTTCAGAGCCTCCCAAGCCCTGCCTTCCAACCCCTTCCTACATAGATTCTGGTGGAATCCCTGAGAACAGTCTCCCACAAGGCTACTATGACAAGTTCTCTCATCACACCCAACTCCTGGACTGACACCCAGCAGCACTTACCTTCAGCATCTCTGGCTTCTTCATCTGAACCAACCTCTAAACAAAACACGAGCAGTCAACAGAGGTCTTGTTCTGAGCTCACTTCCCTGAGGGCATTGCCCATGGCCAGGCATGCTGGCCTCTTCATTTAGTGTAGGGTCAACCAAGAAAGAGGCACTGGATGGATGATCACCAACCAGAAAATGGACTGCCGCTTCCCCCGCCCAGTCCAGGCGTCTCAGGCACGCGAGCTAGACAGCACCTGGACGGCTGACATCTTACAACACCGCCCCTGAGCCCCTTGTTCCTTCACCCTGGCGTACCTTCTGCTTTGGATTCCTCTGTCTCATCCTCACCCTCAGGCTCAGCCTCAGCCACACCGTCCTCCTCCTCCTCCTCCACTGCCTCCTCTTGCTCTGGAGAGGTGAACCAGACACCATGAACAATTAGGCCCCTCTCTCAGCAACCAGACAGCACCCCCAGAACAGAGATCAGCCTGGGAGGGGTGGAAGAGGGCCAGTAATACTCAGGTTCACATGACTTGGGAGCCATGGCCTCGGATGACAGAAGGGATGCTGCTTGGTCCCTGGTTTAAACTGGAAGCCAACAAACTAGAGCCCTAGCCACACCATGCGCAGGACTACTTCTGTAAGCAAAGGCTCATAGGCGTATAACCTCACTCGCTCATCTGCACTCCCATCCATGCCTCAACCCCACAAGTAAGTGCAGCAGGAACTGTGGGTCTGCCAGCCCAAAGCGTTCACCGTCTACTCCCTTGCAGGAAAGGAGAAACCCAACCGAAGGGCACCACCTGGCTGGTAAGTGTCCAAACTACCCTGGGAGTTTGGAAATCAGAATGGGGTCTACCCCAGCGTGGACACCTGTTTGACATCTGGAGGCTTCGGAACAAGTCAGATACATGACGTGGGGGCATGTGGTGTGGTGGGGGGTGCTGTGGGGAGCACCAGTGATGGAGGGCAGCAAGACTCGCCGCTGGGGACCAGTTGGGGTGAGGGCCTGTCCAGTCCCTTTCTGCCCAATTTAGGGCTTGCCTCTCCTAGTGATACGATTCCATCATCTTCCCTAACTTTCTACCCGGAGGCTCCATTCAGTGCCTGGACCAGTTTGGACAGATCCTGACTAAACTGAGGTGCCAGGGAAGGTCTGTTGTGAACCCAGGGACTCTTCAAGTCTGTAGACCTTTCCTCCATGTCTAGCAGAAACCAAAGCCATGAGGTTGGGTGGATGGATGAAACACCCAATATTTAGAGAGTTGTGCTACCCAGAAGGTTGCCAGGAATTTCTATTTTCATCATTTGCTTGGCAGGATGTGGACCCCGCCTCTCCCAACATTCAGAAGGGACAGACAGATTAGGGAGGCAGGATGCCATCCAGACCATGACTCAGCTTGGCGGAAGTGCTTGTAACACTCAGTGATGGATAGACTGACAAGTGGTGGACCTTGGCAGAGGGAGAAGAAAACACCTCATGACAGAAAGAACCATTGGAGGAAAGAGGGCCCCTCCACCCCTCTGCTCATCTTCTCTGGCCTCCTGTCCTAGGACTGGCTCCCCACTCCGGTCTGGGGTACTTCTTTCAACCATGCAGGAAATTTGCCAGGAGCATGAGAGCAGAGGGAGATAGCCAGTTATGGGGTCCACCTTGTGGCCACCACGCTAGTACCTCTTCCATCCACCCTAGTCTTCATCTCTCTGTGCCCTGTGCCCTTTGCCCAGTGGTCACACAGAAGCTCAATGAGCAGGTCACACTTAGGGCCTCCCTGGATGTCACTGTGGGAAAGCTGGTCCTAAAGTTAAGCCCCATTCTGTCTCCTTCACCCTCCTTATCCCTGGGAGCAAGTCCAGCCTCACCCCACCGCTCAGCAGCGCACATCTGAAGGCCGACACCATGCCCTCTCTGCTCTAGCTACTTGCAGTCTCCTCTGATAGCCTTCAATGTCTTTGTCCTCAGAGCCCTAACCCCTTGGCCGTCGTGCCTTAGGCAAAACAGGGACACTGGCATGGACAGTGGAGGAGCAGTTGGGGTTCATTCCTGCCATAAGAATCCCTCTGTGACCACATGTGGAGTGGGTGGGAAGACAGCAGAGCCCAGATCCACCCCACTGCCCACCCCAGAGAAAAGTCAAGACAGAAAAGAAGGAATGGGCAAGGGACCCTAGGGCCCTGGCCCTCTGAAGTTGTGGACCTTCCCAGTCCAAGCCCAGAGCCCAAGAGACACAGGAGAGCAGGGACAGGAACAGGACAGCAAAAGCTATACTACCGTCTCCGTCTTCACTCCAGTCTTCCTCTTCCCGGCGCAGGAGGTGACAGCAGCAAAGGGGGCGAAGCGGAACACGTTAGTGAGCAGCACAGAGCCCCGTGTCAGCGCAGGCCACAGCCTCAGAGTTAGGCCTGAACCCCAGCGCAGGCCACAGCCGCTCAGAGTTAGGCCTGAACCCCGACTCTCAAGCCAACCCGCAAGCAACGTGGCAGCCTCGCACCTCAGTGACATCCCCAAGCCTCGAGCAGACGGACATCATGACAGTCAGTTCCCAACCACTACCGAGAATCGGAATGCCTCACACAAAGCAGGGCCTGGCCCCTGGAAGCATTCAGCCCCAGCCTGCTTCTAGGCTACAGGCCCAGCCTCTCTCTCAGTAAGACAGTGGACCCCAGTATCAGAAAGTAGGAAAAAATTCACTTCCTCTCCAACTTCTGCTATATTCTACAGACTCCCAGACAGAAACTGCTGTGTGTAGTAGCCAGGCTGGAGGTCCTAAACCTGGCTGAAGTCTGTTTCCCAAACCCTACTACCCAGAACCTGCTGTGATTAGGAGGAAAATCCACAAAGGCAAAGGAATGCCCAGCAGATGGCTCCCTTCTATGGAGGAAGTTGGAAGCAGCTGGGCTCTTGATTCAAAATATGATTTGGAAGCTGGACAGGCTCATGCCTATAATCCCAGTACTAAAGCTGAGGCAGGAGGATTGCCACATCTTGAGACCAGCTTACACACACACACACTCACACACACACACACACACATACATACATACACACACACACACACACACAAAGCCTTGGTGTGGAGATTTAGCTCGGTAGAGAACCAAGGTGAGAGATCTTTCTAATTGCTCCTAAAAACCAGAAGTGGCATCTGTATACCCTTCTGCTCCTGGCTCCTACTTGGCTTCATGACCTGGAACAGGCACAAGAGGCCCCTCACTTTTCCCAGAAAACCTGAGGAGCAGGGGCAGTGTGGCTTCCTAGACCATCAGAGATCCTTTCCTTTGTGTCCACATGTGGCATGCCTTTGCCAAACCACTGCAAGTCAAGCAAGCTTCAGTCTGCCTGCAGTGTAGAAGCCAGGAGCCATAGGATGGTTCTGGGCCTTCCAGGAGGAAGGATGGAGGGAGAGAGAACGCGTTTCCATTGACAGCAGAGCCCAAGACAAGGAGGGTGACATGTCATCATATCCAAGACGAGAGGACAGCAACATTAATAAAGCTGTATGCCCATAGAAAATGTCCCTGGTAATGGAGCACTTTCAGATCACAGACATTTGAAAATGTAGTCAACGGAGTGTTCTTTGGTTTGTTCATGACATTGTGGTTGTGTTTGTTTGTTTAATGGTGCTTATTTTTCCAATTTTTAATTTAACTTTATACACACACATACACACACACACATATATATGTTTTGCGTGCATGTATGTCTGTGTACTACTTGTGTGCATGGTGCCCATAGAGGTCAGAAGAGGGTGTCAGGTCCCCTGGAACTGGAGTTACAGGCAGTTGTGAACCACCATGTGGGTAGCAGGAATTGAACCCAGGTCCTCTGGAAAAGTAGCCAGTGCTCTTAAATGCCAAGCCATCTCTCCAGCCCACATATCTTAAGATGTGTGCTGAAATAGTAAAGTGTGTATCTGAGAATGGTTTGGGTGCCTCTTCAGGACATTGAGGATCAGCTGGAGTAGAGATGAAAGACTGACCTCTATTTATGTTTATGATTGTGGAGGGTGGGTGATGAGAGTGTGGGGGTCATTATTCTTTCTTGCTATCTATGTAACACTTCAAAGTTTTCATGGTAAAAAATATGTTTTATACATATTGCACACACACACACATATATATATACAGATATGTACACACACATACACATATGTATATGCAAAGTGATTACTCAGGACATCTCTGCTCAGCTAGGAGTTCAGGGCAAAGAAAGACAAGCTATTTCCCCAGAAATACAGGCCTCCCAAAACTCCTCTCTGACTCCCCATGTACCTGAGAAACATACCTTCCACAGCTTCTGTTTAGAAGAGAAGACCAGGGCAAAAGAGAACAGAGAAGAGGTGGACCATTTTCCACCCAGACGGTCCTCCATCAGTGTGCACACGCATCCCCGTGAGAACTTACCTTCCTGCTCCCTGAGAATGAAAGAAAGAAGACACTGTCAGAACCGGTGCACATGCTACACACACACACACACACACACACACCACTGACCTTTCCCTGAAGTCAACCAGCCCCCCTTTTCCACTCCTTGCTTGTGCAAATGGCACTCCGTCTTCTGGCTTGCCCTGCAAAGGCCCCCAGCAGCCTGGCCCACCCTTCCTAGCCTGCACTATTTGCCACTGTCCCCAGCAAACCTCTAAGTCAACAAGCTTCTTCCCACTTCCCCCACCCTCCCCTCCCCTCTGAGGTTCTCCCAAGCAGTGCCCCTTTCCTCCCAAGTCTCTACAAAGGCTGCCTACCTTCTCCACACAGCCACCTCTGCCCAGCCCAGTGGCCACTCTCCCCCTCTCCCGAGCTCCTGTGCAACCTCGGCCACATCTGCATGCCACATCTGTATGCCACATCCCTTTGCTAAGTCCTTCCGTGGTTCATATCACAGCAGCCCAAAGGAAAGGAGGTTCTGCGCAGGTCTTTGTGACCTCCCTGGTGACATCTCTGCTTAGAATACTTGTTGGATTGCCTAACTGAACCTCACCTTTGGCTTCCCCAGGACAGGCCGGTAGACTAGCTATAAGGGACTAGGGATCTGAAAAGGAGTGATAATCCTGGGCCCTGGGGCAGGATGGGGGGAGGCCACCATTTCTGTGACCTCAGGAGAGCTGTTAAACCGGTAGCAGTTTCCCTCCTGAAAGCCAGGTCCTGGAACTGAACCCTGTATTCCCAAAGTACCCAGGCTGAGGGTGTCTGGGATCTGCTAACCAGAGCTACAGAAAGTGGGAAGAAATGAAGAAATCCCAACTCCAAGTCCTGGAAACAGGCGCAGCCACTCCTGCCAGGACGTGAGGGTTGCTGGGGGCTCATTGGCCGGGTATGAGGGGACAACATACAAGACAGGGTGCTCCCTAATACAATACTTACTCTTCGTACTCCTCCACCACCTCCTCCGTGTCAGACATGGCCTTGGCTCTCCCTCCAGAAAGAGAAAAACATCATTGAAGGTAGTAAGAAGGGAGGTTGCCTTCCTCCAGAGCCCTTCGCACCTAGCTGTAGAAGGCTCAAAGAACCCCGGGGGCGACGGGCAAAGCCGGTTTCCCCCTCTTCAGGGAAGCAACCATGATACCTCAATCACAGCAAGGCGGCTAAGCGGTAAACACCCATTCCCTGCCCCGTGAGCAGGCATGCCAAGATGAATTTCTTATGTTCCCATTTGTAATGCTCAAAGAAATGTTAGTCATGTTTCTCTATTTCTCAGGGGAGCAAAGAATCCTAGTGAACATCACCCTATTTCTGCTCTCACTGTGTATTTCATTCTGGCACACAGCTCCCCTGGAATACTGGTGACACCAACTCTAGCCCTGTACAGCACGGAACTCAGCAATGAAAAGAGACAAATGACTGGTACATTTTCCCAAGCTACTGTTTGAGAAAAAGCAACTATGATGGTCATACGCTATAGGGCTCCATATATAATTTTCTTGCAATGGCAAGATTATAAATGAATAGAATAAGGCATCAGGGTTCACGTGGAGGACAGGGGGGATGTAGAAAAGACAACTAAAATATGCACAAGGGACCTTGTTGGCCTTTTTAAAAATTATGTATCTACTTATGTGTGCCCTTTCCTTCTGCCATATAGGTCCCAGGAACCGAACTCAGGTTGTCAGGCTTGGTGGCAAGTGCTTTTGCCACTGAGCCACATCACAGGTCCCCCTGCGGGTCTTGACTGTAGGCATGACTACATGAACATAGCCAGGTTAGAACTGTGTAGAACAAGTGAAGCTGGGGCGGTCTGAGTGAGAGTGTGGATGGACTGGATCTGTGTGCACACATGAGTCGTGATACTACATTATGTAGTTTTGGAAATGTTTTGTCTGGGGAATGCGGACAAAGGGAGAACAAGAAACCTTTGTTTTCTTTCTCTTTTTTTTTACTTCTTTTATTTCTTACTATGTGTCTATGTGTGAGTATGTGCACACAGGGGTAAGGTGTCTGTGTGTGAGCATGTGCACACACGGGTGCAGGTGTCAATGTGTGAGCATGTGCACACATGGAGTGTGTGTGTGTTTGTGTGTGAACATGTGCACACATGGAGTGTGTGTGTGTCTGTGTGTGAGCATGTGCACACATGGAGTGTGTGCGTGTCTATGTGTGAGTAGGCACACACATGCGTGCATGTGTCTACGGCATTCAGAAGAGGAATTCGGATCCCCTGAAGCGTGAGTTACAGGTGGTTGTGAGCCACCTGACATGGATGCCAGGAACCCGCCTTACATCTGTAAATACGGCTCTTAACTGCCGAGCCATTTCTCCAGCCCCTTTGTGTTATTTCTTACATGAGTATTAATCCACATCATCTCAGTAAAGAGTCCAGCTGCAAAGTGTCCCTGGGAAACTGGCTGAGCTATTCCTGTAACTGTGGCAGGGGCAGAACTGGGTTCAGGTTCTCTTCTCTTAGTTTGCTGAGATGTTGGTGTGTTTGTAGCATAGTTGAACCCCGGTTCTCTCTGAATGATAGAGGGAGGACAGACATCCTGGCTAGGGGACTTTATGAGGTTCCAGCGGATAATAATGAGTGGACGCCTAGGCATGGCCTGGTGTAATTACGTACACTCGTAGTCACAAGAAGCCACAGGGAGAGGTGGGAAGAGCAAGGTCTCAGTGTGAGAGTCATCTGGTGTCCTTGAGTGTGACCTTGCAAAGGTCATTTCATTTTCCTACACTATAATTCCCTTTGGGAAGCTTCCCCCCTGTGGTATACGCAATAGAATGAACAGATTAGAGATACTGTAAAGTGCTTGGCCTGAGAACGAACTCAACCCATATTATTATAACCCAATTCCCGGAAGCATATCAGTGCCTAACCCAGAGACACCATCACATTGCCTGAAATGTGGACAATGCCCCCTGTTGTTTGCAATATAACCTTCCTGGCAATAGAGTTACGAGGGAGAAGGAACACACAATTCAATAGAAGCATGCTAATTGATAGGCCTGTCCTCCCATCTTCCTCTTGTGCCCTGCTTCCTGCCCACTCTGAAGTGTCCCCCTGTAACCAGATCCACCTTGCTGGTATAGAAGGTTTAGGACATGGATGGCCCTGCCCCTGCCTTCTCCAGCCTTCCCTGTATATCCCAGTGCAGGGAAGAGGACTGAGATCCAACCCGACACACATCTATGGACATCCATGAAAGGTAATGAGTTCCTGGATCAAGCTGATGGTCAGCACAAAGTCACCCTTGAGACTGGGCAATTTCCAGGAAGTTAGCCAGCTCTGGCCAGATGTGAGTGAAGAGTGTCTCAGACTCAGAACTCACTGTAGCTTGGGATTGGTCCAGGCCTGCTTGGCTGGGGACAAGAACAGCAAGTCCCCACTCTGCTCCCTCTGCTGGAGCAGGACAGAGACGGTGCGGGGGGGGAGCCCTGCTCAAGTGGAACTCTGGGCAGCAGCCCTGTGCAGCATGTCACCCTGCCTCCCCCAAGTTAAGACAGTGGAAAGGGGATGTAAAATGCTATGGTGTCTCAACGCGGGTGAGGGGGGGTGGTGGGGGGTGGGGCTGTATTCTGTTGAGAGAAGACTGGAACACCAGATGTCCTCCATCTGGATCTCAGGGAGAGCATGGCCACTTCTGAGCCCAGGAGTTGGGTCCAAACCCCAGGGGAACAGTCAGGATCTGTGAGGAGTCTGGGGGTGTCGGGAGTGATGGGGAGAACTCTTGGGGGAAGGTGCATGACTACCGCAGGTCTCATCATTGGTGGCTTCTCTCCTGCCCTCCCACCAGCTTAGAGCCGCTGGGCATTTTGCTGAGATCAGAGTAGGTAGGAGAAACTTGGACTCCCCACCCTGGCCCCAGAAATACCATCCAGCTCCCAAAGTAGCACAGAGACTTCAGAGTCTGAAGAGTGCTATCAGCAGAGGGGCACACCTAAGCCAGGTAGACTTAGGAAAAGAAACGGGGAGGCTGAGCCTGAGGGCTACAGAATGGGAGGAGATGGGGAAGCTGGAGGGGTTAATACAAACATGTCCCAAGGGCCCCACCCTCCACTATCTGACTACCCTCACAGCGAGCCACAGGGGTCACCTTTCATGGGTAATAAAGCAAAACAACAGAAGCCAAAAAGAGGGCTCTCTTTGGGATCAAAAGATCTGAGTTTTAAACCCAGCTTCTACTGTGTGGCCTCAGATAACTCACTAGACATCTCTGAGCCTTTAATCGATTTACCCATAATTGATTGGCTTCAGATTCTTGCGGTTCCTGAGGAGCGTAGGCTCTGTCCTTTAGCCCTTGTCCGCAGCATTGAGCTGGGGTCTTCCTAAAGCTACAGCTGTTGGCCCAGGAGACTCCCTGAGGAGTCAGTAAAGGGCGGGAGGGAGGGGCTCAGCCGACTTGATCCCCTCGGATTCTTCTGCTCTGAGAGGAGGAAGACCTGTCTGTGAGAAGAGGGCCAGAGGAGCAATCCTGGAGGTCAGGTAGCTTCCCAGCTGAACTCCCTTTGGAATGTGCTAGAAATTTCTTAGATTCTGAGCAATTACCTCCTAAGGAATCCTTCACTACGCCCAGAAGTCAGAAAGCCTGCCTACAATGCAGAGGCACTGAACGGGAGCAATCCTAAGATCAAGTTGGAGTAGCGCAAGGGTCACACTGGAAGGAACACAGTGGGTCCCAGGAATACCCTTCCTGTGTTGACAAGCTTAGCTCGTCTCTCCTGGGAAGGGGATCTGAACTCATCACCCCCTGACCCCATGGTAGCCACTCTCCTCCTCCTCCAGGAGTGGAATCACACCGGTCCCTGATGCCCAGCAGATGGCACATCCCCTTGGAGAAACCCCATCAGGCCCACGTGTCTCTGGATGTGCTTCCAGGACCCCATCTTTGTCCGTGGACACGGGAGCTGTGTCACCAGAATTCGTTGTCAAATGTAGCCATGGTCTTACCCTGTTCTCTAGGCCCTAGAAGAAAGATTTAGGTGGTCCTTAACCTGGAGTCAAGGAGACAGACCAAGCAATCTGGGAATCCCTGTTGGTTAGGGTTTCGTTGTATTTAGTGACCCAACAATGAACTTGGGCACTCTAATCATGAAAAAAAAGTAAGATCTAGGGAGGGAAAGCAACCTCCTCGAGACTTTAAAACCACACAGTGTCTTTAGTGGCAGATCGGGGCCTCCCATTCACTTCCCACAAGAATGCAGGCTCTTTCCAGTCCACGACACTCAGTGTTGGAGTCTGTCCTCGATACAGTTCCTCTGCTTGTGGAGGTGTTCTCCCCTCTAGAAGGGGCCGTGGATTTCCATCAACCTAGTGACCACTCAGAGTCACTAGAGAAAAGTGCCGGGACCGAATCCCTTGTGCTCTCCCATCCGCCGCCACCCTCCCCTAGAGGAGTCTTACCCACCAGTCTTACCTCTGAACGGGCTACACGCAGGTCCTGAGATATCTACTCAGCCTCGGCAGGGACTGGCCGAGGGCAGGGCATGGAGAGGGCTTTAAGCAGGCATGTGGGCTGGGGCCTTGAGAGCCAAGCCCTGCGGTGGGAGGAATGTGCAGCAGAAGATGGGGGGGGGACGACACAATGGGGGGTGTCGGCTGCTATTTTGGCAGGTGCCGGGCACAGGGCTAAAGGAGCAAGTACCCAGCGCCATATAAGCTCATGTGGTCCTCCAGCTGCCCACACAAGCTATTTAAAACCAGAGCAGATATGCTGGGGACATAAACCAGCTGTCCCTCTTGAGAATCCTGATAAAGCAGATGCCAAAGTCCAGGCCCAGGGGGTGGGGGTGGAGGGAGGGCTGGGAACAGGGTTGGGGACAGACGTCAACCTCAGAGATACTTCAAGAGCCTCAGAGCCAGGTATTGGGGAGCAGAAGACAAGAGCTGGGGGAAAGACATCTTCTGGGCGGCTGCTGCTGCTGGACCAAGTAGCCTCAGGCAGGCTCTGCAGGCCTCGGAAAGAGCGCCTGGAAAGTTGTTTCCATGAGCCCCAAGCCACACGCCATGTCCTCCTCACAGGAGTGAGCTCCAACCCCCAGAGGAGGGTGGCATCAAGATGGCGACTCCTTAGTCTGACGGCAGGAGTATGGGTGGGGTGCGGAGGATCAGTGGGGTTTCCCTCCAGGGTTAGAGCAACTTTGTCTGGCTTGCTCACTAGATCAGAAGGCCCGTATGATCAGGACCCAGCTTTTGCTGTAGTCTGAATGGTGATGTCCACCATCCCACAAAGGGTGACTGGCAAAGGCATTGACCAAAAGGTGGGACTCAGGGTGTGATGAAACCAAAAGAAGAAACTAAGTTGGGAGGCGGCTGAGCTCTCTCCACAGTCTCCCTCCCTCCAACAGGACCCACCGAAGTCTGAAGAACAAATACCTCCATGGACCAGGCCCAATTTACGAGGTGCCCCAAGCCCTGCGACCCCTGACCCTTCCAGACACTATGAGTGACTCATTCTCTTGCTTTCCACACTGGACTCAGCCAGCCTCTGCCCTTCTTTCCTGACCAGAGGTCCAGCCTCTAGTTCCACCACCACTTAAGAGGGACAGGGATGCCTCTGTGCGAAAGGGCCCTCTGCAAACAAGATGTCCACACTTCTAACCAACTAGTCCATTATCCACTGACACAGTTACCTTCCCGTGGTCCCTAGCAGTCTCTGAGTTCAGTGACTTTGATCCCCAGATCATCCCCAGCCATGTGTGTCTCTGTGCTGCTGGGAAGTCAGCAGCAGGACCAGCTGCAGCCACGGGCCTGGGGGCAGCATCCGAGGAAAGGGAGCAGGGAGAAGTCTATGAGGAATAATGAGGGCAAGCCAAGCTGACCTCATAAAGAGCATGGCAGCCAGCTCCCCCCTCCCCATGGAGCCCACCAAGCCCCATTTTGCGCTGCATCTCAGTCTAGAATCTCCCGAAATTTAGGAGTTGCTCCCTGAACTTAAACTACATTCCAAGAAAGCCAGTAACCTTTCAGACAGGTCATCTACCCACACAGAGGCCCCTCCTCCTAGAAAACCAGTGGGTTCTTAGTATCTGGGGAACCTAAGTGTGGGGCTTCATCCGGACAGCCGCTACTTGGCAGCCACACTGGTGTCTAGCAGGGTGGCTCCAGAAGCAACTTAGAGGATGTTCATTACAAATAATCATGTGTCCACAAATAAGCAGAAAATCAGAAATGTGTGGTCTCAGCTGGTGCATGTCCACTGGGATACCCACCCGATGACAGGATGCTCCTTGAGTGTCCGGGCCACTGCAGTAGCAGAGAAGGGAGGCCGACCCACCTCCAGGGGGCGCTCAAACGTCTCCTTCTGCACTCACGCACGCGCACACACACACACACACACACACACACACACACACACACACACACTCACACCTCTGACTCCAGTCACCTCCACACCCTGTTCATCAGCTGCCTCCAGAGCAGAACCTGTGGCAGGAACCGTGGAGTGGAGCCACACTCTCCCCAGTTGCCTGCTCACAATGGGCACCCCAAAGAGAGACTGCAGGCAGAGGTCACTCCACTTTGAGCCTGCACCTGATGAACATCTCCTCCATTGACTAAGGGAACAAACATGAGCCTCTCCTACAAGTCTGTAAGACAGCTCTGCCAGTCACAAAAGTTCACCTGTTAAGGAACTACCCGAAATTTGCAACATGAACATCCCAAAGCCATTTGGGGTCACCTGCTTGAACTCTTGAGACTCAGAGAAGGAAGGGCATGGGTCAAGGTGCTCAACAGAACCAGAGTAGCTTAGCCTCCATTGTCCAGGTGGCTCACAGCCTTGCCCAGATTCCCACCAACCCTCAACTGCAGATCAAGTCCTTGGCAGGATGTACAGGGTGTTCCAGGCAGGTCATCAGGGTCTGTCCCCCAACCCATGTCAGCCCAGCAAGTGTGAGACCAGCTACAGGGGACTCACAGAGGCCAGCCAGCACTGGGTACTGACAAATGAACACAATCAGGATCTGAGAGTCTCTAGCTTCTGGACTATGGGACCCAAGATAGTGGCCTTCACCCAGGACACAAAATCAGTGAGAATAGCTGCTTCTACCCTGTAAACTAGGGGAGCAGGGGCCCGGTGCCGTACTTATTAGGCATGTTCTGAGAAACTGTGGGATTGCCCCAGGCTGCTAAGTGGGTATGGGTTGGTGAAACCAGAGCAATCGGCTGGGAGTAAGGGCTGTAATGACTGAAGACCTCCTTTGGACTCCAGTCATGATGTGGCTGCAGGGTCCTGGACTGCCTTTCTGGTTTGCCGTGCATTTTCGGGTGGCTCAGCATTCGACACATGCACGCGCGCGCGCGGGGCCATGGAACTGGACTGGGAAGAGGAAGCCGGGGAGAAAGATAGGGTGAAGGCATGTGGCGGTTCTGTACTCTTAAATGTTTTTATTTTGTGTGTGCCTTGCTTGCATGTATAACCATGCACCGTGTGCATGCAGCGCCCACAAACTGGAGTTTCAAATATGTAGATGCTGGGACCGGAACCCAGGTCCCCTGGAAGAGCAGCCAGGGCTCTGAACTGCTGAGCCATCTCTCCAGCCCCCAGTTCTGTTTATTAAATCACCAAGCTGATGACAAGGCCACCACCTTAAGATGAAAGAAGATGGGAACAAGGTCTGTTCCTCCTGCCACCAAAGCCAGTGACCTCCGTCTCCCTGCAGCTGATTCCAAAGGGAAGCAAAGCCTGTAGGGACAAACCCATCAGCATTACCAGCCACTTACACCTGAGAATGAATGAGTTTATCACATCCTTCCTGAGAAAAGACTTCTGAGAGTAAGATTAGTGGTAATACAAAAAGGCACTGAGCTCCGGAGAGGGGCGGGGCAGGCGGGGGGGGGGTTAAAGCAGGGAGATGCAGCGCATGGGCAATGCCTGGTGACTCCTTTCCAGTCTGGCTTTAAAGAGCCTCAGGGAGCAGTGACTAGGTCTAGGACTTAGTATGGGGACACCACAGGCACACAGAGTACCTGTTGGGAGCAGACAAGACAGATAACTCTGGAGTTGGCAAAATAACCCCGCCTGAAGCTGGCAGTGAGCAGGAGGAAGGGACAGTCTCCAGACAGCACACGGTGACTGTGTGGCTGATGTGCCAGGGCTGTGCTCCGGGTCCTTCTGGGTTCAGGATATATCGTGGCTACAGCAGGACAAGAATGCACCAGAGCACATCTGTCCCCCAGACAGGGCTGGGGAGGGGCTGCAGGAGTGTCACTCATGTTCCTGGCCCCCAGGGGCCCTGACCAAACTGGCTGAGAAGCAGAAAGGGAATGGGGGCAGCAAGAGTCGGGAGTGCTTCAGGGCAGGGGCTGGCACGAAGAAGGGCCCTTGGGGTACAGGTTTGCAGGTCTGTCCTGGCAGGGCTTGTCACACCTGTGGGACAAAGGCCAATTAGAACAGGGAAATTGGGTTCCTGGGGCTGTGGGAAGGGCACCTCTGGACAAGGAGATAACCCTTTGGACAGGCAAGCTCCACCCACACTGGGTGTACCCGAAACCAGACGGTTAGATGGGGAGGCGTGGCCAAGCCACTCAGACCCACAACTGCAGCCCACTTAGAGCATGTATTTGGACAGGTTTGGGGGCTTCCGCTGTATGGCAGGGCTGGGCCCCTTCTGCCCCACTCACCTCCGCATCCAGGGACACGGTCGACTTGTTTCCCCATTGAGCCCTCCTGGTGACTGATGTCTCTTTCTGTACCTCCTGATCAGGACATCAAAGCAGAGACCAAGAACTCAGGGGTAAAGAGGGACATGGGACCCCCACATGCTCCCTACTCCAGGTGTCTGTGTTCTTCCTGAAGGGACAAGGGCCCACTCCTCTCCTTAGTCTAACCCACAGGCTGGGCCCTATACCCTTTGTCACCAACTCTACTTCTGAAATGACCCATTGCTGTTGCCCCTCCTCTGACTCGACATGTGGGTAAGGGTACCTGGTCTCCAAAATCCTGGGTCTTGCTGATCCACAGGTTAAGTCTTGATGTCACAACCCCTGACAGTCGCAGATTCTCCTAGAAAAAAAAAAGTCCCACCTTAAGGCTCGGAGTCCCTGACAACACTAAGGCTCTTCCAGAGGCCCCAGAATGGGGACAAGATTCTCTCTGGCGTCCACTCAGCACAAGCTATTTGTACCTAGCAAAGGTCACACCGTGTGGCGTTCTGCACCCAGTAAAGGAGTACAGAACAATACAGTTTCTAACACAGCCGAGGCCCAGGCTTCAGGGATGTCAGCCTAGAGCTCCAGCAGCTGGGATCTGGCCCTCACCTTTCGGATGGTTGGTTCTGTGCGGTTCTGGCCTGCCAGCTCCTTCTCAAAGAGGTGGCGCTTGCTGGCTACACCAGCAGGAGTCACAAGGACCTCAGTGCGGGAGGAGCCTGGAGACCTGACGGATTCGGATCTCTGTAAATCGGGAATGCGAGTGGCTGAGCCATGACTGGAATGTTCACAAATGGTGCCCTCCACCCTGGCACAGGCTCCAGAGGACCCTCTGCTCCCACCTGTATGGCTGTGTGGTATCTCTCCAGTTTCTCTTCTAGCTTCACCGTGCTAGCTGGCAGCCTCACACTGGCACTGTAGGATGGGAAGACAAATTGAGACGGTCCAGCTGAGACTCTGTACCCCAGAGAGGCCACGGCTGCCCCCAGGGTTGGAAAAACAACCCCCCGATGCTCTATCCTCCTGGCAAAGAGCGAGGGCAGGGGCTGATGAAGAGACCTCTGTTGCAGAGTGGATTGTAATGACTTGGTCAGGGTGATGTCTAGAGACTCCAGGAACTTTCACACCTCCGAGGAGCAGCCTGCCTACTCTACAGGGCATCTCAGGACCAGACATTTCCCACTGTTTCCTTCCTCCCTTCTGCTTCCACACCCCCCCACTTCCACTCACCTCAGTCTTCACAGGCTGGGAGGTCTTTACAGGCCCCTGAGCTCCCCCCTTGGGTCACACTCCCCCCGCCCCCTGCAGCTGCCTGCCTCGGTGGCTATGTGTTTAGTGGTCTCAACTGAGTCGCTTGGAGTTAGCCACTGTCATGACTTTGTTCTCTGGCTCCGTCCCCAGCCCCCACCCCCCACCCCTGGGTCCAGGAACGCAAGCCCTTATTAAAGGTTTAGCTGGTAGGTAAACACAGCACAGGTGGATGAAACTTGTAACACCAGCACTAAATTTAAATAAACTGCAGCCCAAACATAAAATCTTATTTATGTTTGTCCCCTCTCCTCCCCTGTGCAGTGTACCGTCCTCCATCTACTTGGCTCAGGGTTACAAGGGTGGTTACTAAACATGCAGGTTCCCGGCCACCACTCTAGGCCTGCCACGGTTGAGCCTTTTCCTTCTTTGTCCTAATCATAGTCTCCCCTCTGGAAAGTTCTCTTACCCTTTCTCACCCCAACTCCAAGATAAACCAAAGCCTCCCCCCCTCTTCAGAAACCCCTGAAAGGTTCACCTCCTCCAAGCCACTCTCCCAGGAACCACAGGACAGCTCCCTGACACAGCACACAAAGCCACCATGATGCTCCCTCCCAGTGTCCTCTCACCCAACCCCAGGACGTCCCACCAATCCCGTCACCCTGCCAAATCTAGAGTCCCAAGCAAAATCTGCACCTCCCCTGAAGTATGCTGTGCACAGCGTGGCACAATGATGGCATAAGAGCAGACACACAGAGTCAAAGCCTCCAGGCAGCTCACCTGCGGGTTAAGGTTGTTTCCGGGTTGTCTTTCCTGGGGCTCATCTGAAACGAGAAGGTAAGTGAGGGTCTTAGGCAGCCCATGCGCCCTCTCCAGTGAGGAGTCTAGTTCTCGGGATGCATCTTCTTCCTGAGAAACCCCCTCCCCTGCACACATGAGCCCCAGCCTTTCTTGAGTCTTAGTCTGGAAGCACCTGCCTTCAGCCTTCAGAGTGCGTCCAAAGCCCTTCCTCTGCCACCTTTCCTGGCCTTGCCGAGGTACCTGTTACAACCCATATGCCTATCTGCCTCTCCACTAACCAAGAGCCTTGAGGGTACTGGTCAACCTCAGGCAGGTGGCCTCTTGCCCAGGGCCTGTATCAAGGCACAAGGCACATTCAACCAATGGATAAGCAGATGACCCAGTAAACAAAAGAACTAAGTAGTGAGACAGACCAGATGAGAGTCTCCAATCCCATCACATGGAAGCAAGGCAGGGGCAGAGAGAACACTGGAAAGAAACCTGCTGTTCTCTGCCCTGTCCCTACCTCATAAGGAAGAGACAAGAGGGCCATGACAGGTCTGTCTGGTCTGGCAAGTTCATCTGCCTGCAGTCCTGTTCTTATCCACTAGGTGGGGCTGCTCTCCACACGCATTTTCTAGGTCTTCAACCTGCTCTCCTTAATTTAAAATGACCAGTCTGGTTTGGACACCCATGTAAATCCAAAGCTCCTCTCTATCCTGTCTCTAAAGTTGTGCCACCCAGGCTCTTGGTTAATGGCTTCCTTTCATGCTCTGCTTTCATGGTCCCCCGGCTCTTACCCGAAAGGAGATGGTCCTGGGGCTGGAGCGTTTGAGAGAACTGCTGTAGGTGAGCCGGGTAGGTGAGGATGTGTCTGCCTCTTCATCCTTGCTGGGAATTTTTACCTGAGCGGAGCAAAGGTGTCAGACAAAAACTCCTTGGTACAAGTGTAGGTGCTCCTAGGTTCAAGCCCACATTTTCAGGGGGACCTCAGGTGCCCTGGCCCATCCCAGAAGCTAGTGATGGCAGAGTCAGTCAAACCTCCTACTCACTCTCCTGCCCCTGCTGTGCAGTGACCTCCAGGCAGAGGTTTAGTTTTGGGGGGTTCTGAGGCTCCCTAAGAGCTCGCTAGCTAACCCAAGGCCCCTTAATGAGTGCTGGTTTCCTCAGAGGGCTCTGAGTGGACAGGTGACAAGGTTACCCTGGCTCTGAACAGAAATGAATGTCCTGGGGGCTGGAGCCCAGGGCCTGGATGAGAATGCGGTTGGGACCTCAGGTGCCTTCTGCACATGGCCCCTTCCCACTACAACAGCCTGCCTCTACAACAGCCTGCCTCTACGACAGCCTGCCTCTACGACAGCCTGCCTCTACGACAGCCTGCCTCTACAACAACCTGCCTCTACGACAGCCTGCCTCTACGGCAACCTGCCTCTACGACAGCCTGCCTCTACAGCAGCCTGCCTCTACGACAGCCTGCCTCTACAACAGCCTGCCTCTACGACAGCCTGCCTCTACGACAGCCTGCCTCTACAGCAGCCTGCCTCTACAGCAACCTGCCTCTACGACAGCCTGCCTCTATAGCAGCCTGCCTCTACAACAACCTGCCTCTACAGCAACCTGCCTCTACAGCAACCTGCCTCTACGACAACCTCCCTCTACGACAGCCTGTCTCTACGGCAACCTGCCTCTACGACAGCCTGCCTCTACAACAACCTGCCTCTACGACAGCCTGCCTCTACGACAGCCTGCCTCTACAGCAACCTGCCTCTACAGCAACCTGCCTCTACAGCAACCTGCCTCTACAGCAACCTGCCTCTACAACAGCCTGCCTGTACGGCAACCTGCCTCTACAACAACCTCCCTCTACAACAGCCTGCCTCTACAACAGCCTGCCTCTACAACAGCCTGCCTCTACAGCAGCCTGCCTCTACAGCAACCTGCCTCTATAACAGCCTGCCTCTACAACAACCTGCCTCTGACTCGGGGTCCTGTTCAGATAGCAGCTACAAATTCTGACTTGCTAAGAGAGAAGAAACTGCCAAGGCCAGCCCAAAAGTGGGAGGAAGGGAGGAAGCAAGGGATGGAGAGGCCTGAGGGCTGGACTGCCAGGGAGGGCAAGGGAGAAAGGGGCAACCTACCTGGAGTGTGATGGGTGGGAAGCTGGACGCCTTAGTTGGAGCATCTGAAGTGCCCTGCTCTACAGAGGACAGTGGGCTCTTCCCAGGGACAGCCCTCCCTCTGGGCTCCCTTGTGGTGACCTGGCTTCCGCCAGGGGCCTGAGGCTGCTCAGAGACGGTCGCCTTCTTTGGAGTCAGCTTTGTCTCTGAGACTAGTGACTTCTCGAAGATGGACGCTTTCTCTGACACCAGCCGCCTCTCTTGCATCTTCTCAAAGACAACGGCTTTTTCTAGAACCGGAGTGGATCTTTTCTCTGGAGCTGCTGTCTTCAGAGACACGAGTGTCTTCTCGGGGACGGGCGACTTCTCTGACACACTGGTTCTTTCTGGAACCAACTTCTCTGGGCTGCGTTTCTTCTCAGTCGGGGATGCTTTCTCTGTGGCTGCCCCCTTCTCTGAGGGGCAGGCTTTCTCCGAAGCCAGCCTCTTCGCAGGCACAGAAGTCTTCTCTGGCACAGGCGATTTCCCAGAGATCAAGGTCTTCTGCTGGACTACTGCTTCCCCTGGAAGCCCCTTTCCCCCTCCCGCAAGCCCTCTGCCCTTTCCGCTCTCTTCTTCCTGGGCCCAAGGACCTCGCTGCTCCTGACTCAGTCTCCGGCGAGGCAGGGGCTCCACTTTCTTCTTAGGCACAAGGGGCTGCGACAAGATCTGCTCAGGACCTACACTGTTCCTTTCCCCCTCCACCTCTAGCCTCTCCTGCACTGGAGCCTGGACAGCCTCTACCACCTGACGCCTCTGTCTCCGTTCCCTCCGAGTTCTAAGGATGGCCAGGAAGTCCTCTTCCTCATCTTTGGAGGCTGGAGGCGATGGCTTGGGGACCTCGGCTTCCTCCACACTGGGCAGCCTGAAACAAAAGACACGGGGAGATAAGGTGGACAGAATCAGAAGACATCAGGAGTGAGGGTGAGCCGGGGTGTAGCTGACTCAGTGAGATGCCTCCAGGGCCACCAAGGAGGAAGCAAACAAGTCAGACCCTGCTCTCCCTGCCCCTCACCATTTCAAAAAAAATCACTTTTATCTATTCTGAAAGCTGCACTTCCAAAGGGTCACTTGAGCAAAGCACCCCAGGCTCCAGAAAAATCACAGATTCCTGTCCGGTGTACAGTGAACTGTTCCATGTTAAACCACAATCACTAACACTAATCAAGCTTTGTAGGTTATGGGCCTGGGGCACCATTGGCCAGGAAGGCTCAGAGGAGTGAGTTCAGTCCATCAGAGTCTAGAGGAGACCATGGTAACTAACTGGTAGGGAGCTAAAAGGGAAGCCCAAGGCTTCTGAGGCACCATGATAGTATCCTGTCCATCGTAGGGGTATGTCTGGGACATGGTGGCAGGCCCACAAACACAGCCTGGCTTTTCTTCATTAGGAGATGTAAAGGAACAAAAGCAACATAAAATAATTGTGCAAAGCTCAGAGGTCCTGGTCTCTAGGTAAAGGAACCCGTGCCTCCTATCCCTGCTTTTCATGTGATTTCAGGCAAGTTAACCTACTGTCTGAGTTTTTCAAACCAGAAAACTGAGCTTTTTAGGCAGTGAAATGAGAGCCATCTGGTGACGGCGAAGTCCCAGCACAGAGGCAGCATTCAGGAAGTTCTGGGCCCTTCTCTTCCTTCCCCTCCTAATCCCCAAACCTAGATGTCAAGATTGGTCATCCCTTTTTGCTCCCCCTTGGAATGGGGATGATCAGAGTATGGGGTAGCCCATTTAAGGGAAGTCTGACAAAGCTGGGTGAACACCGTGGCCACACTCACTAGGTACAGGACCTCGACGAGCTACCTAAGCATGCTTCCCCAAGTCTCTCCTGCTGCAAGACAAGTTACTAACAGTGGCCTCTCCAACGCCATGAAGACTGAGCAAGCTACATTCATCAACAAAATGTCCAGCAGAGTGGGGCTCATGGACAGGTTCACCAAACGGCGCCGGGAGTGTGATGACGGCGGTGGGAACCGTGCTTGGTCTGAGGATGGGTCTAGGGATGGTGAGGAACCGGAATTTCATCTTCCCACCATCAACCTATTCCTAGACCACATCTCTAGAAGGTCAAACAGATTTCACAAAGTCTTCTGGGACAGCTAGGTCCCCCACTTCCACTCTTCAGATTTTAACCCAACCACGCACCTCTCCGAGGATCTCCGAGCTCCATTCTGGGTGAGTTTTGGAGATTCGTCATCTGTGGTTGAACTCAGGGTGCGGTGCCTCCGCCTGCGTTCACGCTCCTGTTCCTCCTCATCCTCCAAAGTCCGCTGCCGGGCCAGGCTAGGGGAAGGAGGTAGGGATCAGCACAGCCCCGAGACCAGTCAACACCTTCCCTAGCCAGACTCCCACAGGCTTGCAGAAGACAATTGCCTCCAGGCAGTGGGGTACTGCAGTGCAGATGGCCGGGACAGAGAAGTTCTAAGTGCAAATACACACCATATCCCCAAGACCCAGGATGAAGAACAGAGTGCCTGTTTTGATACAGACTCTCACTGTAGTGCAGGGTAACCTGAAGTTCCTGGGCTCAAGTGGTCTAGCTAGCTGGAACTACAGGCCATCACAGAAAGTTACACTGTTTGAGAAATGTGGCACTCTGTTCTTCATCCTGGATTAGAGGGTACAGAGCAATGACCCCACACACCAGTAGCAGCAGCCAGTGCCCAGTTAGGACAACCAAAGGCAGTTTCCAGCATTACCAAATAGCCCCTTGGGGTACCGATGCCCCCAGTTGAGCACCACTGGGCTGGAATTCACTGTGGGAACAGAACGTCTCTGGATGGTGGAAACGGGGAAGGTGGCATGGTTCTGCCTGAAGGAAGACGGTGACCTTTACAAGGTCCTCTCCCTTCTGAGCTCTTGACAGACAATAGCTGAGAATTGCCTCAAAGTTGCTCACTCCCCCACAAAAGCCTCTGGTGGTAGGGGTAAGGGTAGACTCCCAAATGAGACTCAGAGAGAAACCATTATATCCTTTCACCCTCTCATGTCTTTCTTGGCTTTTAAAGCTATCTTCTCCCTGCCTGGAGCAGCAATGGGACTCCCCATAACCTACATTTGGTTTCCACTCCTGTAACCTTGCATTTGGGAGACTAACTGACAACTTTCGGGCATCCAAACAACTCCCACTAAAATCCAGCCAGCCGGCCGCCAGTCATCTGGCAACCCAACCAAGCCACGCACTTGCCTTTTGCCATCGGGAGTCACCCACCCTACCAGAGTCCCAGCTACTGCTCACTCCCAGCCCATCTTCCCTCCATCCACCCAGACAAACAACAGACGAGCACGGAGTGCCTCTAGCGAGTGGCACCCTTAATCTGTAAGTTTGAGTATTAAGGAATTCAAAGAGGGAGCCAGTTGTGAGCTCCTGAAGGCAATCTGCCCATCTCTCTACATAGGTAAGGGGTGTCTGATCATCACCCCAAGGAAAGGAGCAACCTTAGAAGAGAACCTTCTGGAATATCCCAATCTCACCATTATGAGGGCAACCTCTGCTCATCTGAGTCACAAAGTGTATTCTATCTCAATGCAAACAAAAGAGGGACAGGGTTTTTCCATATGTCCTTGACCATGGATCTTAAGCGGGACTCCCCTGGGCCTTCACATGAGCCCTGTAATCTTTGTACATTTGAGAACTGATTCTTCATTCACCCCCACACTGCACGCAAACCTAGTCTCTTATGCCCCACCTCTCCCCCACCAACTTCTGCTGCCTTGCAAATGAGGACACTGCTCCTCCTCTCACTGTGCATGCACCCTGCCCTTGTCCTAGTTTGGGAACAACTCCTACCCTCCAGAGAGGGTCCATATCCAGAGGAAAGTGAGCACTCCCTACCCACACCCGGCAGGGCTGGGCTGGAGGAGCCTCCAGGATTCCTTGACCATGAGCAACACTGTTTCATATGCTTCTGGCTGCCCTTGGGGAAGCAGGGGGTTGTCTGCCCTCCCCTGGGCCCATGTGATGCCCCATCAGCCTGAACCAGCTCTCCTCAAACTCGACTCATGACCAGGTTGGGCCAAAGCTGGCTGCAGAAGTCAGGGCCAGGTGTTTCAAAGCTTGACACCCAGGTCCCAATGCTCAAGAAGGGTGATGTGGTCACCAAAACATGCTGCTCAGAAATCACGGGGCTACCTTCAACTTCTGACACCCAGAAAAACAGGAGTGTTTTCATTATCTCACCCCACCCCAGCAGAGGAATGTTATCTCCAATAAGCAAGGATTATTGGCCTCTAAAGGAAGAAATGGACAATCATGGAAGAGAAGGAAGGCCAAAGGTCAGCTTCCTTACCAAGTGCTATTACTGGAACCCCAGTAATAAATCAATTATTTTGGGGGCTCGAAATTCCAAGATGGTGAAAAACAAGTCAATAAGGAAAAGAATGAAGGAGGATGGGGGAGTACTAGCGCATCCGAGCTTACTATACACCAGAGCCGGTCTAAGTACTTTACAAATCCCGCTGATGTTAATCCATACAAGGCTGTGAGCAAGGTGGTGCTACCCAGCTCGAATTTGAGAAGCCTGAGGCTTGGAGAGTTGGCAACATTCTGGAGAAAGCATGGCTACTAAAAATAAGGAACCAAGGCCTCCCGCCTAAGTTACCCTCCTAAGTCACCCTCCTAAAGCTGCATGCCCTAACCAGGACACACGGGCCAAAAAAGATGCCCTCCCTGCAATGCTGGCCCTAAATCAGAGCCTTACAGCTGAATGTCCAGAAGGAAAGCAGGGCTGAGGCAGGAGCAGAGGCAGCCAAGCTCAGGGTACAGTTGCGAGAGCAGAGGTTTGGGGGAGCCAGCATCCACGATACCCTAGAGCCAGGCCCTATGTGAAACCTGCAGGCCCTAACAGCCCGGGGACTGGGCAGCTGACCCTGCAGCCTAGCCAAGCATCTCACCATTCACCCCCCTCCACACCTCTGCCTCCACCTCCTGGCCTTCACTGGGGCACACACATCCCCCTCTGCACCTCCAGGTGAGGCTGCTATCCCTCCCCACTCCTGATTCACAAACCCCACCCTTTCTTGTGGATGACATCACTGCCCTGTTACACTTAAGAGTAGAACCAGGTCCTGTCCGTCCCCCCACTCCAGCCCACCCCCGTGGTCACAGAGGCTCCTCTGCTTGGGTTTAAATACCTAGAGGGTTTGGGAAGAAATCCCAGAAGCCTTTAGTGAACCCTGGGGCTCAAAGAGCAGGCCCTGGGGAAGTGGAGAACAGTGGAAGGGCCCTCAGTGTGGCTGTGATTTTATGCCACAGTCACAGTTCCTTAGCACACAGGCTTCAGGCTCCCCCTCCACACACCGAGGAGCTATTGCAGGTGGCCTGAGGTCCCTTCCGCACCAGACAGTCTAAAGAAAGGTAGCAGGAGAATCCAGAGAGGCATGGGAGGTGAGAGGGCTGTTAAAGGGCCTGGCAAGGAAATGATTAACCACTGGCCACTGAGTCCCAGGCTCTCAGATCCTCCCCTCACCCCCCACAGGCAGGCTGGCATATCCTCACTGGTCACCAGGTCAGCACATGGAGAAGAGGACATGACTGACCAGGGCAAGCGGCTCACCACTGCCCGATCCCAAGCCTGCAGTTTCTGAGCCTCAGGGTTGAGGACAGCGAGGACAGGCTCGCCACATCTCCGCCTTGGTTCTAACTGAGGCCACCCTTGTCACGCCCTCAGCACAGGCCTCCCTAGCCTGGAAGGCTCGGTTCACGGTGACTCACAGCCCTTTCCTGCAGCCCGCTGGGGCTTGTTGCTCGCGCTCACTCAGAGAGCAGAGCAGGAGTGGTCCTCTGCTCCCGGTGCCTCATCAGGAAGACAGACGGTTGGCAGCAGCTGCATCTGCCCACGGGTTCCATGAAGGCTAGAACTGGGCAGGGAGGCCAGACTAGGTCCTCCGGTAGCAGGACTGGTTCCCCAAGGCTTCACTACCACTTAGCCTGGACATCCCATGGGAACTCGGCCCCACCCCTGCAGCCACAAGAGTCTATGTCCAACTGAGCAGAGGGCAAGCTAAGACCAGACCTCATTCCCATTGAAAATCCTAGTGCCCTCAGCCAAATCCTCTACACACAGACATGTGCACACACACACACACACACACACAGAGAGAGAGAGAGAGAGAGAGAGAAGAGATTATAAACAAAAAATAAGCAAATAAAATAAAATCACAAGCACCCATCAGTCTGGGCACTTGTAAGGAAGAGAGATCTGTTTTGTTTTTTAACCTAATATGTAGTGCTAACATCTTCAACAACCATTTCAATGGAACATTGTGGGAGCAAACTCAGCTGCCCACATGGACATCTCTACACAGGCCATAAACATGCTCACCCACACAGAAGCTGCACTCATAGGCACCGATGTGCCCACACCCAGAAACAAAGACACTCCCGCACCAACCCCATGCACACTGACCCACAGAGTCCAAGGCCTTGCCCCCGCATCAGCTCCGCCCTAGGCACATACCTTGCCTGGGGTGTGTCTGACCTCTAAGGCAGCCTGGGTTCCCTTCCCAGAGCTTTGGGTCTCACCCTCCTTTGGGCTTGCCTTTCCCCTTCTCTAGATGTGACAGACCTATCTGCACTGAGGCTGAGGGCAACCATGTCCCCAGGGCAATGTCCTTAGGGTCTGAGGAGATGGTCCTCAGACCAAACGGATGAGCTTCTGTGAGACACAGACGCTGAATCCCTCGGGGAGAACCCGAGGGGCAGCAGATCTTAGGTGATGGAAAATGTGTGAGAAATGCCTTGATAAGCAAGGCTACTGTACCTGTGCTGCCCACGGTTGCTGGGCTGCACCTACAGAGACAACTCTGACCCCACAGTAGGCCTGAAGACCGAAAGCCCACCTGAGGAAGGCCAAGAGGCCTGCATTACCCTGGCTGGAGCCTCTGCTCCCTTAGGACAAAGGATGCATTCCAAGCTAGGGCCTCAGTGGCAGGACATGAAGAAAAGATGCTCCTTTCAACAGTTCTGGAGAGGGAGGGGCAGCTCCAAGAGGAGGCTCAGAGAGAGGGGCTGCCTCTTAGATACCCACCCCTCCATGGCTTCTCTCACCCTGAGAGGCGGTCCAGCAAACGCAGTTTCTGACCCACTGGGACCAGTGCACAAACATAGTCTGCAGCACAGACAGGGATAGCAACTATCTTGCCCCCAGCGTGGATGCCACCCCAAATGCAAACTCAGAATCTGAGCCTCTCTTAGCATGGGGGAGCTGCTTTCTCTGACCCTAGTCACAGACCAGGCTCTATTGACTCCATTAGGTGGGGCTAAAGGACTCTTCCCAGACCTGCTCTAAAAGTCTTAACAGAGGCATAGAAACCGGGGGTTCACTCAAGAATAAGGTTTGGGGTAACCTTCCCAGTCCTGTAAACTGTTCCTTTGCCCTCACGAACAGTAGCACCCTGGGCTGTCCAGGCTGCGGACCAGCCTTCCCCTAACCTGTTCGTTAGGACCTAAGCACACAGAAAGCTGCGGAGCAGGGAGACCACCCTCCCTGTCACCTGCGGGGTCGAGAGTTTGGTCTCAACTCCGACTCTACCAAAGAGCAACAAGACCAGGGTCCGCTTCTGCAGGGGTGCAGGCCTGTGTCCGCGAGAGGAGATCCGAAGGGGAGAGGCTGCCCGCCAGTCCCGGCCCACCCGGCCTCGGTGGCCGCTCTCACCTGGACAGCGCGGACCAGTCCTTTCTGCTGACCGACATGCTGCCGAGCCCCGCGGCCGCCGCGTGCCGAGCTCCGCGCTGCGCCGCTCACCTGCGGCCCCTCCCCCGCGCCAGGTAGGGTCACATGGCCGCTTATCTCAGCCCGGCTTGGCCCCGCGCCGCCGCGCTCCCATTCGCCGGCCCCGGGAGCTGCCTCTGGGGTGTGGGCGTCCCAGACAAAGCCGCGCTGAGCTCCGCCGGGGCGGGTCTCCAGCGCGGCCGCTCTGCGGGACGGTCGCACCGGGCTGCGGGCTGCACCGAAGCCGGGGCTAGCGCGGGGCTGCTCTGCTGCTGGGGGCGAGGGCGGGAGACTTCCTGCTCAGAACCAGTTGGACCAGCTCGGCGCCGGCCCGCGTCTTCTGCCCCAGTCGCGGTCCGGAGTGCCAGGGAGTGGGACGGGGGCGGGACCCAAAGATCGGGGTCAGGTTGAGCTCGATGCCTGGAAATCGACTTAGTCCGCAGAAACCTAAGAGCTGGAAGCTGAGTAGAAAAGTTAGCGCAGGTACCGTAATCTTGGGTGTAGAGTGCCGGCAGCTGTGAGGAAGGGGGGGCTCCTAGAGGACACCCCAGGAGTCAGAAACTACTTGGAAGACTCTGCTGAGATGAGCAGACACTGGGTGAGAAACATCCCCTAGAAAGCCAGTCTCTCTCAAAAGGGCATGAGGCTCACACACGCCAACAGGGAAAGCACAACAGCTATAAATAAATAAACAGACAAATAAATAAATAAAAACTATATGCACCAAAGGCACGGTCCTTGCTCTCTGGTACCCCACCCCACCGTGGGCTGAGAAGCAGAATTTAACTGTGCCATGGAAGCACAGTGTGACTCCTCGGGAAGAAAGAGGGCCATAGACAACTGAAACTACTATTACACCAACCTAATGTAACTCGGACACCACCCGTGAGCACCCATTTGGGTGGGTGCAGCACCAGTTGCTTTCCACGCGGGTGCCTACCTCCTGGATGAGCAAACCAGGGTCAGGTACCTGGATGGGGGAGTCTATCTTCCCTTAAAGATCCGAAAGGGAATCAACGGCTCCTTCTGCAGGCCCTGCAGATTGAGAAGTCAGAACTGGCAGCCTCCAGAGGTCCGCCTGCCTCTGCATCCTGAAGGTTGGGAACGCTAGAATTAAGTCATGAGCCACCACAATGGACTAGGGGCCAGGGGGGTCAATCAGGGGTAGCATTATGCGGGAGGTGGGGTTAGCATCGGAAAGCTGAACTGTGGGTTAGAGATTGACATGGCTGGTGGGTTCTCTCTGCCTGGTGTTTGAGAGGGGGACTGAGTTGAGTCAGAGATTCAGAGGGTCAGGGATTCCTGAGGATTGAGGGAGGAAGTTGACTATAGACCACAGAGTGTTTCTTGACCTTTTAACCTGATACTTAATGCTCGGTTTGAGGAGCTATCTCCGCATTGTCAGATGGTCAGCAGCACGCAATACCCGTTGGAATTGAGGGTCTTAGAAGGAACTGTCGGGAAGATCATCGGATGTCGGTGTGGGAGCGCAGAAGGCCTGGCATTGTGTGCCCATACGCAAGGGCAGGGGTTGAGTGGGAAAGAGGAAGGAATGCGCTTTCAGCAGCATAGAGTCGGTATCCGCGCCCCTGTCCTGGCTTCCCAAACATCTTGACAACGAATCTCCCCTCAGCGTTCCCTGAACACTGTGCTGAGCACACTGGATGCTCCATAGCAGTTTGGAGAATCACACTAACTTTATTTGAGAAGAAAGTCTGTACCATTGAAGGTGACATTTGGAGTCTGGGTCACTGGGAAGCTGAGATCAAGGGGTTCTAGGCATCTAGGACCCCTGGGATCAGGTAAAGCCAGGGCGCGGTACCTCAACAGCTCTCAGAGTTCCAAATGGAGTGTAAATGGTACAGCTGGCAAATGCAATTGCATTCCTGGATAGAAAACCTCTTGGGCATGAACACCAGAGGAGAGGCCCATGAATATTCAAAGAAGCACGACTGGGAAGCAGAAGGGAATGAATCAAGGATGGCATCTTCATCGTTTCATCATTTCTTGGCGGTGAAATAGAACAAACGGCAGAGGGGGGAATGGCGGCTGACCCAGTGTTGAAAGAGAAAGGGCACAATGCATGCATTTATATAAAGCTTACAGGACCGTGCAACCCTCAGCAACGCACAGATTAGGGGGTCACAAACATAGAAACGGACAAAGAAGCAGAGAATTGTATAGCAGTTCCTTATCCTTAAAGGATCTGTCTAGGACTTTCAGGAAATGCCTGAGACCACAGATAGTACCATCCCTGTGTGTGATGTTTCTCCTACACATGCTTAAGAGAAAGTTTAATTTATAATATAGACACATTAAGAGATTACAAAGAGTAGCTAAGAATAAAGGGCTGGCGCTGGTAGTCAACTGGAAAACTTATGTCTGGCATTTGTAAAGTCCTAGATTCAGTTACCTACACAGAAAGCAAGCAAAAAAAAAAAAAATCAGCTGGGCGGTGGTGGCGCGCGCCTTTAATCCCAGCACTCGGGAGGCAGAGGCAGGCGGATCTCTGTGAGTTCGAGACTGGGCTGGACCGATAGCCTCCAAAACAATACAGAGAAACCCTGTCTCGTAAAAACCAAAAAAAAAAAAAAATCAACTAGAGAAAAGGGCGAGGTGCGGCTCATGGAATATAATCCCAGCTCTTGTTAGGCTGAGGTAGAAGGTTTGCCAAGGGCTAAAGGCCAGCTTCAGCTACGTAGTGAGTTCCAGGCTAGCCTGAGACACGGGAGAAAAGGGGGATGGGATGGGGAAACAATTTTAATCGCACACTGTGATGATTGTGTCAGCTATAGGACCTTTGTGCTTTGGAGTCACTAAGAAAATAGGGCTTACTTAAGGACAAGAACTGTGGTACCACACAGCTTGTCTGGGAACAGAGATGGCCACATGGCTAGTAGACAGAAGCTACACCAGGATACACAAGACAAGGATGATTTAGGTCCTGGGCAGGATGGAATAAGAGTTCATTACACTACTCAGAATAACACGGGATTTTAAATGGATGAATTACTTGTTTCTGAGATTTTTTTTCCATTTAGTACTTTTGGGCCAGAGTTTACCACAGGTAACTGAAATTGTAGAAAGCAAACTCTTGGAGAAGGGAGACTCCTGCAAACACAAAATTGAAGATCCTGTTTATTTACCTTTATGGAGAGGAAGGCACTATGATGAGGGAGGGGCCCAAGGGTTTCAAAGGTATTTCACAGTGTCCTAGATCTGAAACTGAGTGGATTGGGAGCTGGGGTGTAGTTCGGTGACCAAGATCCTGCCTGCATGCCCCAGAGTTCAAGCCATAGCACCATAAAAATAAACAAGTGGCCCATACAGGGGTGCTCCCTTTATAATTCTTTATTTACACATTTGTTTAAAATGTCAGTGCGTGGTGGTCACTTCCTTCAAGGAAAATCCATCAAGGCAAAGCCTGCTGTGGCTGGGAAGCCCCTGACCAAGCACAGGGGCTTTCTGCCATTTCTCAGTCAAAGATAAGGAAGAGGTCACCCCTCTTCTTCCCTCCCTTGAGGTTCTGAGGCACCCTACAGCAGACATCCAGGCTCTGGGATCCCCCAAACACAGGACTCATAGAGCATCGTTTCAAGGGAAGTTAGAATGGAAATCTGGGGGATCCCCAGCCCTGACCAGCTGGCCTTTACACCCTGACATTTCCGTTCAGTTTCTACTCCACTGAGTAGCCACTGTGCCTTTGGCACTGTTGGAGAAACGAAAAAAATAGAGCAACAGCACCCACATCCTAAGGACTCCAGACCAGGGGTCCCTGGCTTTTGGTTGCTGAAGTGCCGTTGCCACTGTCTTAATTTGTGACTTAAGAACCTTAGAAGCCAGAGTGGTATATGCCTCAGGAGGATCTGAGTTCAAGGCCAGCCCAGACTACAAGGAGACCTTATCTTAAAAGACATTAGAAAACAATTAGCACACAAAGGCCATTTTAATACTAAAATAACAACTTAGAAGTTTGCATGCTTTGGAAGAAAGGCCAGCCGTTTCCCTTTTTCTGCACTAGCTCTGGGATCCCCAGGCATCTGTGGTACTGGCTCCTCAGCAGAGCAATGCCAACGAGCTAGGATCGCAAACTGTCATTTGGGGAGGCATCCTCAGGGGACCGTTGTCACCAGAGCACACAGTGTGTGTACCCCGCTAACCAGTGGCAGCCAGTTCCCCGTGGTGTGCCCCATAACCCGCTCACCCTTTCTCTAAACAGCCATGGCATTCACATACTTTTCCCCCCAGGGGCTCCAAGTTGAAAGACCTGCCTGTCACCAGGGGAGGCACACCTCTCCCAAACCCAAGGCAAAGGGCTAGGCTCACCCAGCCTGTACTGACCCTACCAGTGAGCAAAGTCACTTGCTGGCACTGGAGTCAGGCGGGGTCTTGAGATAGGCCGGTTCCTCAGAGCCACAGCCTCAGCTTCTGGCTAGAAAAACCAATGCTTTCCTTCAATCAGTTTTCCAAGCAGACTGAAGTCAGGGGACCTGTGTCCCAGTCCCACACAACCTTGAGCAAGTCACTTTCCTTCTGAATGCTTCCATACATTGACTGCCACACTCTGTGCCAATGCCACAGGGACTACCAAGTCCATCCTGTCCTGCCTCGATCTTGGGGCCTGGGACCACAAGCCAACTTGGGCATATATCCTGGGAATAAAGAAACCCCTGCCCCTCCCTGCACGTAGGCTCCACAGGCTGGCAAACATTTTGAGAAAAGAGACCCCTGAGGGGGTCAGGAGAGGAAGCTGCCATCTGCACTGGTCTCAGAGACCTGTCCCAGACTTCATCAGCTTGGTCACCCACCTGGAACAAAACTGCCCCCACAGCTGCCCAGCCCAGAGCCCTGTGGGGGGTGTGACTCACTTCGCGGGGGACCATTGTGGCTAAACTTTAACCTGGCCCCTCCTTCAGAATGACACTTTAGCCCCAGAAGCTCTGAGCACAGGCTTGCCCTAAGTGCTCCAGTCACTGAGAGTGACATTCAGACACACCAGTGGGGACAGGGCACCTCATGAGAGAAAGGGAAGACACCAGCCAGCCTCGAGAGAACTCTAAGACAGGCAGAGTAGTAGCAGGTGGCATCCTGCCCTGGTTGTTCCTAACCAGGAGGGGGGGACATCCTGCTGTCTCCAGCTGCAGAGAGAGGCATGCCCACACAGCTGTTGTGGGATTGTTCACACCAGAGATTCCTAAGAAGGTCCTGGGCCTCCACCCTCAGCCTAGGTCCAACTATTTGAAGAAGACCTCCCCTTTGCCCGTGTGGGTCTGTCTTGCCTCTCACATAATGGCTTTCCCTTTGGTAGGGATATGGGAACTCCCGTTTTACAAGTAGGACTCCAGTGGAGTCCTTCCTGAACAGTAGCTAGTTTGGCTCTGTTGAAGCAAGATGGGTCCTAGAAAAGAGTGACTCCCAAGGCCAGTGGAACTGGAGTCCCCCATGAAGCCACGGTTGTCAATCTCTGGCCCTTATATCCCAGCGTCCTAAACCTTCCAGGGCTCTGTTCCTAGAGATCTGCCTCCAAGCTTTTTCTGGGAATGTGTGACAAACTGGCATGGTACGTTTGTCATTGTTATTACTGCAAATAGTGCCGTGGAAATAGTGGATGAGAGTCCGGATGCTGGCAGACTCCCTCAGTTAAGTTCCACAGCGCTCTTTGCTTTGTGACTATGGGAAGTCATTAGACTCCCTGCGCCTCAGCGGCTCCCTAAGGCGCAGGGATGGAGGCGGTGCTGTCTCACAGGGTCGATGTGAAGATTAAATGACTACAGTATCTAAGGCAATGCCTGGTCCACGGTCACATGCTGTGTGTGGGAGCTGCCAATCAGGGAGAGGCCCCAAGGCTCACTCCTATTTCTAGCCGTATCTAGTCATGTGCACTGTGGCCTTCCATGCAGAATCAGGACTCTGGAGATCTCACGCTTCCCACCCCAGGCTACAACAAAGGACCCTTCACAGAGTTCCCCCACTGCTGGAGCTCATCTTCTCCCTGCCATGGAGAGGCTCAGTCTTCCCAGATAAGTGTGGGTACCTATCTGGGCGCTAGTCCATCCTCAAGGAGATGGCTCAGGGCACCGGAAGCAGAATGGGGCTGGTGACCTTCTGGAGTTCTCTGCACAGGTCCTCTGTACTTTCCCAGAGGGCCACAGGCTTGGGTGTGTTGGAAGCCCCACCCCTCCCCCTTCCAGCAGCCCTCTCTCTGTATACCTTGTTTGCTTTGAGTCAGGATTGAGGCTGGTCTCCCACCTCCATAGGGCAGGGTGGAGACCCCAATCTGTCAAAGCCCTAGGTTAATAGTCTACTGGCAGACTGAAATTTGCCTCAGGAACTTAAGGCCAGGTTCTATCAAAGAGCTGGAAAGAGACAAAACATTGAGACATTCTCTGGAGCCCGGCCAGCTGGGAGGAGCGGTGAGGCAAGGAAGGGTGGGTTTCTTGGCTGCCCAGGCACGAAGCCTCACCCTATGCTCTGTGGCATGAACCAGCCCTGCCAGGTTCTCCAGAGTGTTCTCTCTCTCTCTGTCTCTCTCTCTGTCTCTCTCTCTCTCTATCTCTCTCTGTCTCTCTCTCTGTCTCTATCTCTCTCTGTCTCTGTGTGTGTGCATGCATGTGTATCTATGACTACAGGCATGTGTGCACAGAAAGTGTGCTCTTTGCACACCCGACTCTGCCTACTGATGTGTTTGTAGCAAAAACCTCATTCTAGATGCTGCCTTCCCTATCACACCCCAAGTTGCTGGTCCCCACGGCCACAGGCGGGCTGAGCATGCCTGCCCCACACTGTGCCCCAGGAGGTGACAACACTGCACTTTGCACCAGCCATTGGCATTCAGGACAGATAATACATGGAGAAGGCAGAGGGTAGAGTCGGGTATCTCCAGGGGCAGGTGAAAGGGGCTGTCCAGACAGCTCAGCCTCTGTGGAGACTAGCCCCGGGGACCAGTCACTTCCCTGTAGGCTTAGCTCAGGAACTGCCACTGGCACCACCCTAAAGCCAAGTTCCACTCTGGCCCAGAGTTTTGCTCTTTGCTCCTTTAAGCAGGGGTGGAATGTGGGGTGGGGTAGCAACTCAAGGACCCAGGACCGTCCCTCGTTAAGCCTACTCCTCTCCCCGTTTTAAGCCCCTCTACGGTGCCGTGTCCAGACATTGGTGAGATAGAAAAAGGAACCCACCCAAAGGTGCAGGACCACCTTGGAGAAAGAATGAGTCTTGGGGATGCTTGACCGGGAATGTGAGACAGGGTCCCTGACACACTCTTGCCCTCTGAGAAGGGACAGAGGGTCCATGCAGAGGACTTGGGAAATGCCCCTCCTTCTGCCTTCAGTAAGAGAGGAAGTAATTTGGAGTCGAGAACAAGGACTTAAGACCTGAGTAGCCAGGCACAGAGCCTCCTGGTGACCAGATATGGAATTGCAGCATGCCCCCCTCTGAGAGACCAGAGTGCAAAGAAATCCGCAGACCATAAACGTGGTTGTGGTTGAAAGCACCTTGACCTTGACCTCTTGGCCCACAACAGTTAGGTACGTGTGAACAGACAGTCCATGCTTGTGGAGATTAGGGAACTCAGGTGGGATATGCTTCCGAATGGGATGCCCCTCTAGGGTAGGGTGCCTCGGAGATTCTCAGATGGTGAATGTGTGATGCCACTGTGAATTGGAAGAAAGATTCCTTGGAGCGCATTAGCAGGCAGTCACCAAATCCTTAGTCTTCCATTATGACCCTGAGCTCCTGACCCAAGGCTGAAGTTTTTCAAGTCCCTTCCCACACAGGCCTCGTCTTCACTTTCTGAACGCTAACCACAGAGCTACAGAAACCACCGGGAACATGGGTTTTTAATGGAGTTGTGATGCCTGTGGACACTGCAGGTAGCAGCAGAAACGGGGGGGGTGGGGGTGGGGAGAGCAATGCGGGGCTGTGGGACAGGTGTTCTCTCTGCCTCCCTCCTCAGCCTGCGGCCCCTCGGCGTGGCACCCAGCAGGCCTCGAGGGTCAGCGTAAGCCCACGCTGCGGGGGTGAAGTCTCAGACTCCCATCTCTCTTCTCTGTGTGCCATTTCATCCTGACCCCAAGGCTGGCTGTGCAGGCTGGAGGAAGGGCATAGCAGGGGTGTTCCAGGCACTGGCAGGAAGATGGGTGAGTGGGACCGGACCCCGGAATCTGTAAGGACAGGGAGGAGACGCTATCAAATGGATCCTGGTGATGCATGCGTGCTGTTCAGGTGTCACTGACTGACACACAGCACATACGGTCCCATCCCCCCCGCCCTAGGGCTTCTCCCTTGCACCACCCATGAGAGCCCTCAGCTGCATGGCTCCCTCTCTGCTCCTTGGCTTGAGCCTGTCCTCCCTGTCCTTGCCATTGTCCGTGACTGGCTTCCTTCCACAGCTGACCTTTGCACCCTTCCCCTTCACTTGTGAACCGTCTCCCATCAATCACTGGGATCTGCTCTGGGGAGAGCCTTGTCTGTTGTGTGCTACCTGCAGACCTGCCTGTGCGCCTCCTACCCGCGCTCCCATAGCAGGGCTGCCAGGGCCCAGTTCCACCTCTTGGTTGGTTCCTCTGGCTGTTTCTCCGGGGGGTGGACTTGGTGTCTCTGAACTGGTATCCCCCCCTCTGAACTGGTATCCCAACCCCCACCCTCGGGACCAGTGACGAGGGCGCTCCATTGAGGGTATACAAATAAAGAACGGCTCCAAGTAGCTTGTGAAAGACCTGAGATTCTTGGAGACTTAGAGCTGGAGGACCTTGGGGACCGTCTATCCTTGCACTCTCAGACTCTGGCCTGCCTCAGGACCTCCTAGGGTCCCCCAGCACCACAGTTTCCAGGTCAATCATTTGCAACCAGGAACACGTGGAGGCTGCTAGGCTCGGGACCACTGATCCGGTGCGAGCCTCAGTTTTATAGACGAGGGGACCTGGCACCGACACAGACACGCCAGGCCCAGTATCCGAAGGTACAGAGTAGACCTGCGCTCGAGAGGCTGACTCCTAAGAACTCTCCTGCGTATCGCATCAGCCTTCCAACCCCTACGTATCCTGAGTGCCCGATACGTAAGGCTCTGAGGAGGGCCAAGACAAGCACCCTGGGGACTCTGGGGGCCCCAGGATGAGCATCCCGGGGACTCTGGGGGCCCCAGGATGAGCCCCGCCCACCCCAAGCACCTCTACTGTGAGGTTGGGGACTTGGCAGCATCGAACATCTTCTTCCGGCCTTCCATGCCAGACATGGCCTCCACATTCTTCCTCCAGTCTCCCACCTCCACGGGCCGCTCCTGTGGGTAATCCACAGCCATATCAGAAACTCACCAGGCTGGGGGGGGCAACAAAGGCCCCCTGAACTCGAGATATCACATGGAAGAAAATCTACCTCCTCAGAAAGATAGGAAATCCCACCGTGTGATAGAAGATGCCTTAGCCTGAGGTTCCACAGAGAGTATGGGGCTGTGCGGCTGGGAAGTCCTAGGTGACTGTGGTGGGGTCACAGGGCTGGTTTCCAGTGTATCCCAAGCCCCAAGCCCTGTTATACCCTCCTGTGTGAGACACTACAGCTCAGTCACCGCCTCCAAGAGGCCTCTCCTGATTCATCTCCTAGTTTCCACTTGTCGGCATACTGCTGAGCCTGTTCATCTTTAGTAGGCTCCCTAGACCAGAGATTTCTCTCTCACACTTGCCTCTCGCGGTGTGTGTCAGCTCTGGGCATGTACTGTGAGGCCAGCAAACTTGAAGTTGTTTGCTATGCACGTAATTGAACTCAGTTCTCCAATTTCTACACGCTCATGCTCCTACAGCCACAATGAGAAGCCATGGTGACAGGCTTCCCCTTAACTGACACTGGGAGCAAGGTTTACTTTATTCCTCAGTCAGCCTGTCTTGTGCTGTCTTCCCCTCAGATTGGAAGCAGCCTGCCATCCCTCTTGTGACACTGACCTCAAAGGGGGGGGCTAGAATATTCTGGATCATAGACTAACTAGAACACCCGGGCTGTGTGAGAAGCTACAGGTAAAGGCTAATAGGCAGGAGGAGGAAGTCTGAGGAGAGTGGTCCTCACCTTCTCTGTGTCTTCTTTCTTCACAGACTTGAGGTTGGCCCGCAGGTCCATGGATACCTTGTGCTTGGAGCCCAGTAGGGCTCGGAGCATGGCGTCAGCTGAGACGCGGACCCTGCGCAGGGGTGGGCGCTTGAACTTCCCACGGAGGTCCAGCACCTTCAGCTTCAGGTCCTTAATCTGTTGGAGGGGAGGAGCCAGGCTCTATGGGGAGGACGCTAGACCAAGTCCTCTCTTCCTGAGGAGCCAACTGCTAGGCTTCCAGCTAGAGCTGCCCCCAAGTCCCCCGGGCTGCAGGCTAGACTTTCTGAGGTGCCAGAACCACCCACCCTTCTCCAAACAGTCACCAGGAACTTGCGCAGATTAAGTCCAGTAGCTAACCTCATCCCCTTCCCTTCACCAAGCCTCACATAAACGAAACGTCACTAAGCCATCATTCACGTTTGGAAGCCTTGTGTGGCAAGTGGACTGCCTTTTTCTGTCCCTCCATCCCTGCTCTTGCTGTTCAGGCCCTGCCCAAGGGGGCCTGCAGAGCAGCAGAGCCTAGATTAACCCAGCAGGTAGAAAAGCCCTAAATCCTACACCCTGGGAATCCCAGGGTGTGGTCTACAAGGGAGTTCTCTGGAGTTTAATGACATCACACATCAACCTCCTTGGGGCCAGCGGAAGTGGGTAGGGAAGTGTCTGCTCACCTTGGGTCAATGCTCAGAAGCTGCCCCTCTGCACCGGAAGTCCCGCCTTTCCCCCATTCCTCTCTACCGGGGGGCCCTCCGCCTCTCAACACCCACGCTGAAGGAGGGTGGAGTATGGGAGTGAGAAGCCGAGAGCAGAGTGCATACTAGGACCCCATTCTGTGACTTGCGCCTTTGTGAGTCTCTGTGTCCTCATTTGTCAGGGTCAGGTACTAGCCCCCATGCCACCTACGGGTGTGTAGGGAAGAGCAAAGGGTGCAGCAGACATGACAGCCCTTCACAAAGGTGAGATGTCATTAACAGACATCTGATTTCTCGTGTGGTGAGCAGGGACAGCCACTCTGAGCTCACACGGCAGGAGGGGAGGCAGTTTGTTCTTTTCCTGTGCGCCTGTCCTTCCCGCCCATCTCCGGCCGGTGGAGCCAGGGTGGAAAACTAAAGCTTCATGCTGAGTGGCTGCCTCCCTGGATGCCCAGCCCAGGCTCCTCCCCACCCTCCCTGGGCTTACCTCCCTCGTGTTGTGGAGGCATTTGGCCTCGATATCATATCGCTCCTCATCCACCACCTCCACCTTGGCGTGTAGCTCTCGGCACAAGTCCTGCGGGAGTGCAGGGACGGCGTGAGAGTGGAGGAGAGCGGACAGGACCACCAGCGCCCGCCTCCCCCGGCCTCCCCCTGGGTCTCCAGCCTCCTCCCCGCATCTCCGGTCATCCCCCCGCCCCCGCGTCTCCGGCCTCCCCTGCGTCTCTCCGGCCTCCCCCCGCGTCTCCAGCCTCCCCCACATCTCCGGCCTCCCCCTGCATCTCCAGCCTCCCCCTGCGTCTCCACACTTAGAACTGTGACCCCGACAGGAGCTCCTAGAGTCCCATCAGGGTAACACCTCAGGGCATAAGCCTTTGCTCTCCTTTCTGCTCTCCTTGTGCTTTCTTTTTTTAGCTTGTTGTAAATGATTACTTAGGTTTTTAAATTTATTTTATATTTTATTTTATTTTTAGATTGCATGTAGCCAAAGCTGGCCTGAAAGCCCTGTTGTTGAGGGTGCCTAGGCACAAATTCACGATCTTCACACGTGTGAATTCACAGAAACTATGACAGGACATGCAAGAGCCACACACCTTCAAGTCAGGCACAATCCCAGCGCTGAGAAAGGGAAGTAGACACAAAGCCCCACCCCTAACCAAGAAGTTATTTGTAATGGATAGCTTTGGGGAGGGAAAATCAATTTTCCTCACTGGAGTGTTACTGGGTATATCAAGCCCCATGCCCGGGAGTAGATAGCAACACGAAATGAACTCCATTTCTCCATGTTTTGTGGGGTTTCTTTCTCTCTCTCTCTCTCTCTCTCTCTCTCTCTCTCTCTCTCTCTCTCTCTCTCTCTCTCTCTCTCTCTCTCTCTCTCTCTCTCTCTCTCTCTCTCTCTCTCTCTCTCTCTCTCTCTCTCTCTCTCTCTCTCTCTCTCTCTCTCTCTCTGTAGATCAGGTGACCTCAAACTCACAGAGATCTGCCTGTCTCTGCCTCTGAGTGCTGGAATTCAAAGTAAACACTACAACACTCCTGGTTTCCTTTCTTTCTTTTTTCTTTCTTTCATTTTTTCTTTCTTTCTTTCCTCTTTGTTTTGATTTTCATTTTTTGTCTTTTTTTCTTATTTAGAGAGAAATTATATAAAGTTGTGTGGTCAGGAGGTAAGAAGAATCTGGCAAGAGTTAGGGGAGGAGAAATATGATCAAAATATGTTGTATAAAATATTTTAATTAAAAAAAGTTTTTAAAGGCTGGGCATTGGTGGTGCGCACCTTTAATCCCAGCACTCAGGAGGCAGAGGCAGGCAGATCTTTATGAGTTCGAGGCCAGCCTGGTCTACAGAGTGCCAGGATAGGCTCCAAAGCAGTACAGAGAAGCCCTGTCTCGAAAAAAAAAAGTTTTTAATTCACAATCCTCCAGCCTCTACTTCCTGAGCATTGAGGTTATAAACACATGCCTCTACAGAAGGCTTATAGTCCATTTCTTAAAACATAGCTTTCTTATCATAAAAGTAACATAAGTTAATGGTAGAAAATCTGAAAACTATATGTTAAGCAAAAATAATAAAAACAAAATAGCTACTGCCTTGGCAGACATGTGGAAATATTTGCATCTGATCTATTCTCTTCAGTCACTGGGGCTAAAGCAATTCATAACCGATTGCAAACAGTGAAGATTCATCTCTAAAAGGAGGGGAGATCTTTGGAGCAATGAGCTTTCTAAATCCTGCCCATTTCCCAGGCCATGCCATTGCACCAGCTCTGCCCAGCCAAGTCCATTCTCGGCTCCGGGACTCCCCTCTCCAGTCTGTAAACTGCAGTATCACACGGTCACCGCGAGTGCAGTTGTGAGACTGGGGCACCTTGTGACTCTCAGAGCTGTGTGTGTTCAAACCCCCAGAGGGTTCCTTCCCAGCCTGCCCGGCTTACCTGCAGGGCGCTGAGGGACAGGCCGCGGGTCTGCAGCGTGGGGATGCGCTCCGCTAGATAGCGCACCTTCTCGGCCTCTCGCTCCTCGTGTTCCTGCTCCCAGCACTCCTTGGCCTTGGCTAGCATCAGGCTCTGGAAAAGACAAAGCCACGGAGCCAAGGTGGCTCCTCTTATTCCCTGCCCAGCATCACGGAGTGAGGAGACTCCGGGTCTGAGGCCATCGCCCCGTGTGGCAGTGTGTGCAGTAGCTGCTCGCAGGCCCTGTGTAAGTGACACAGAGCGGCTCCCATGGCATCCCTGAGTCCCAGAGTTGATTTACCCACAGTCTCCCTCTTCCCTCCTGGTTGTCCCGTGGTGTGTCCCACAGGGCTCCACAGAGAGAAACACACCAAAACAAACCATGCCCTTTCCTCTCCCTCCACCAAGGACCCCTCCCCAGACTATCTCCCGCCTCAGGCACCCAGGAGGGGCACGATACAAGTTACTGGTCACCAGCCAGCTCTGGCAACAGCCAAGCTTCTTCCCCTACCCTTGCTTGGTCTCCCTCCTTCCCTCCCTGCCCGCCGCACCCCTTCGAATCATCTCCCGTGGGACCGGCCTTACCTTCAGCATGAGTTTGCGGGAGGCAGTGATCTTGGATTTCCTCTGAGGACGAGAAGAGAGACCAATGGTAAGACAGAGGCTATAAGGCTGGGATTCTGGTCCAGACCAGCACAGTACCAGCTGTGGCTCTTCGTCACTACCCAGAATCCTCCGCTCACTTTAGGCCTTTCAAAGCTCATCTTTGGGACTGAACCCGTCAGGTTCCAGGAAGGCTGTGCTGCAGGCAGCTACCTTGAAGGCCTGCCTTCCAGTCCCCGCTCTGCTGCAGGCAGGATTCTGCAGCTGGGCCTCCTAAGGTACCTCCTCATCTGCGGGGGAGCATGTTGACAGCTGCACTTAGTTCACAGTGCCACCAAGATAAAATGAGGGCACAGATAAGCAACCTTTGAGAAAAGCCTAAAACGGGCGTGTGTTTTAGCCCTCCGGGTGATAATGCAGCTATATTCTGATGCTCTTTCCTGCCAGAGACATACGCTACGTGTTTCCCAAATAAGGGAACTATGTCTATGTGGCCATCCAACTGCTGTGCAAGTCATCTTCACCCACATAAATCTCTAAGATATGAAAACACTGTTGTGTCATCAAACCAGCAGGCAGATTCTTGTTTTGTCTGTTTTTGTTTTTTGCTATTGTTTTGTTTTTTGCTCTTTTAAGACAGGGTTTCTCTGTATAACAGCTCTGGCGGTCCTGGAACTTGTTCTGTAGACCAGCCTGGCTGAGAATTCAGAGATCCACCTGCCTCTGCCTCCCAAGTGCTAAGATAAAAAGGAGTGTGATACCGCCACCTGGCTACAGGCAAATTTTTGATGACTAGATAGATATGCCTTAATAACTCCTTGTAAGCTCCTGCCAAGGCCAGATATGGTGGGTCATATGTGTAATCTCAACTCTCTCAGGGCTAAGGCAGGAGGCTCACATGGCGTGGCCCATCATGGAAGAGCATGGGCTACATGGAGGAACCTGTCTAAAAGAAGGTTTAAAGTCCCAGCCCTGCAGCAGTGACCCAGTGTGGTGAAGGGGGCAGACAGAGCTACCTCGCAGCTAACTCATGGGACTGTGAGGCTTGGGAGCCCGGTGTCACTCCTGGGTGCTCCCATGGAGCACTGCCCTGGGAGAGCACAGCTGTGGTTTGTCCCTCCAGTGTGTCAGGCAGACGTGATGGATCTCTGGGAGTGGCTGGGCGAGGCAATGGCTTAGCACACTGAGCACACAACTTCTGACCTGCTCACGGTGGCTTATCTGTTGGAAGCCTACACTCCAGGTAAGGAGAGAAATGGCCGGCTGCTGTAGCCATTACAGCTCCCGGTTCACCCACCCAGACACACCATGGGGAATGGCCTTTTGCTGTCTTGGTTCCTCACCAGTCAGTAAGCACCTGGCCTCTTCAGCTAACCGACTCTAATCGGAGCCTTAGCAAAACTCAAGGGCTCATAGGTCACTGGAAAATGGTGTATTTGCTTCTCCTGAGACTATCCAGGCCAAGTGTCCCCTCCATCGGTGACAATTCCTCTCCACATCAGCTTTTCCTTCAGTCCCCACCCCTGGGTGATATGCAGGCTGCGCTCTCAGCAGCCTGAAGAAATCTGGACCACAGAGTGTCCAGAAGCAGGGTAGGGTAGCCACAGCCCTGAGGGGAACCTAAGGCCGCAGCATCATGCCTTCCTCATAGCCCTCAGTTATGGCTCTGTGCAGCATCAGCTTTTCGACGGGCAGAGTGATGCCCCAGGGATGGATGCAGGAGCTTTGAGAGATGCTGAGGGAAAACTTTCACTCAGCAAAGGTACGAAGCCATGCTGCGATCTGTGGTCCCGGCCACAGGAATGTCTGTGAGGAGCATTGTGACCCGGAGCAGCGACTCCCTGCATCCCTGGAGCCCAGCATCATATAGGGGCTTCACTCACTGACTCTCTTCTCCTGGGAGTCTTCTCAGCCCCTGGCATCCCCACCCCTACCTCGGCTTTGACCCAATCTCTGATTGCTCTCCAGGCCCACCCCACCTTCACCAGTCAGCAGAACTAAGAAACCCCAGTATCACTCACCTCGCTTTAGGCATCCATCGCAAGACGGACCGGAGGAAAGAGCAGAGCACAGGGTGAGTGGGAGCAAGATACATGACATGAGGGTAACAGAACCAAGCAGATTTGCTTGGAGAGGAGGGCACAGGTGGCAACAACATGTCTGAAAGATATCAGCCATCAGGCAGGGGACCACTTCAGGAGTTCAGCAAATAATAAGAACCCAATAACCTTCTGGGCTGCTGGATTTTCCTTTTGGGAGGTGTTGGTCATTCATAGATGTAGACAATCTAGTGGGAGGCTATGTAAGCTTTGACAGAGGGCCACCATTAATGCGAAACTTCTATCCCTGGGCCTGCATTCTCAAAGCTTCTGCCACGGCCCTGTGATGTGGTAGCCTAATGTGTGCAGTTTACTGATCAGTCCTGACAAGCCAGCTCTGAAGCTCAGGTCAAACACATCCTCCAGGGCAACCTGGGACTGAGCTCCACTCATCTGAGAGAGCTCCGGGACACCTCAGGGAAGAAATGAGTGCTGACCAGACACTACGAACCACCCCTGTGCCAGGAGCTTCTGCTGGGAGTAGCTTGGGGGCAGGGTGAGCCAGGCTGTCCAAAACTGTCAGGCTGAAGTCTGTGGTGAATGGACATGCCTCCCAGGAGCCCTGTACGGGGAAGAAACAACTTACACTTCAGGCATGGTGGTAGCAAGGCGGCACCTAGGGGATACAGAGGAATCATTAATGGAAAAGCTGTACCTTCAGCTGGGAACCCCTTGGAGGTGGCCAGTTAGACAACAGGAAGAAGTCAACAATGACATATTCCAACAGGACACCTCATCTGTTCTGCTTAACCAACGGTGGAACAGAATACATGAACAAAATCCTCCTGTGACCTGCAAAGCCTAAAACATTTGCCTGTGGCTATTTCCAGAAAAAGACTGCTGACTCTGGTACAAAACAGAATGGAATCTGTTTTGCAATGTAGACAATGCGGTTGGAAAGTAAGAATAGGCCTTGATCGAGAGAGACTTGAACACGTAGCTGAATCCAGCTGTCACCTGGATTAGGTGTGGATTAGGACTGGGGGGGGTGCAGGAGGGGCAGAATAGAATAGAATAAAAGCTGACACGAAACCGGCAGCTGGATGCCTTTTGGCCCAACTCCAGAGGAGCCATCCAATAGGTGCCTAGCAGCCCTGGGCAGGTGGCAAGAAGCCCCGAGTAGAGGTTCAGGCAGAAGGAAAAAAGATTCTAGTGTGTCTCTACTCTTTCTTGGCCAGTTCTCCTTTCTGCAAAATTGGAGCTTAGACAAGTGTTGTGCTTCTTAATATTCAGCCCTTGGACATTTTATTCAAACCAGATCTCACTTGGAAGTAAAGCACGTTCAATCACTAAAGGCACAATGGCACAGGCATCCTGAGCTGTGGAGCAGTCTGAAGGCACTGGCAGGCCGTCTCTGGACCCAGGCCAAGATGGGCTTTCTGAAGGCTGCAGAGGCCTGATTCACCCTCTTGTCTGGGCCCTGCCTTAGAGCATCCTGGAGCAGGTGGGCGGAGGGTAAAGGAAATGACTGTGCGGAAGCTCAGGGAAGCAGGAGCAGCCAGGCTGGGGACAAATATGTGGGGTGGGTCAGGAGGCCTAAGACAGTGGAGAGTGGGAGGAGCTGTGTACACAGAGGCAGCAGGCATGGAGTCCAGAGTGCAGCCTTACATTTGGTTCAGGAACCTAGTTTGGAGCACTACAGGAGCCTTGCAAAGCGCCCGCCAATAACGCCATTCCATAGCCAGCCTTCTGAGCCCGGTGACCAGGCTTGACCCTCCTATCATGAATCCCAGCCTGTTAGGGAGCTTTCCACATAATAAGCCTCTCTTGTGGGGAGAGTGAGGCTAGGTGGGAGGTGACCCTGGAGTCTCAGCTGTCCCCGTGGGGCGCAGGGGAAGAGGTGTGGGAACCATCCATGCATTCCCAAGATGCTTAGCTGGAATTAGATTCTATGCACAGCTGCTGGTCAAGGGCTCTGCTCTTCTGCAGACAGAGGGGAAAAGAAACACTGGCTGACAAAGATGCACCCCACCCACGTCCTTGTGGCCTCTGGGAATGCAAGTGGCAGCCGAGTAGGTCTCACATCTGTCTCCCTAGGAAGTTCTTCGCCCTGGTGGGCATCTAGCCATGTCTGTCCTTCCTCTATCCCTTAAGATCCCACTGTCGCCAGGCTGGGGCCCACGGCCGGGCCTCCTGCCAAGCTCCAGGCAGTCCCCAAATGCCTCACAGACAAATGCCAGACCCAGGGGTCTCAATCAAGCATGAGGCCCTGACCTGAGCTCTGACACCCACCAGGCAGGCCCCCTTGACAGGCCCTGTGGAAGACAAGCAGGGACCTGATTAGAAGCCAGGATGTAGATAGCAGCGAGGCTGGAGGGCCGAATTCCATCAGTACCACAAGTGGAAAATGAGGAGATAACAGAAAACGCAGAACTAGCGGGAAGGGAGCAGGCTCCAGGCTCCCTATCCCTCAATGCTCACCTCCCTATCCCTGAGGCCCTCGGTGTGGAAAAGCCTGAACGTGCGTGAGTGTGCAAACCTGTGTGAGAGACAGCACAGAGAAAGGAACTGACCTCTTGACACACCTCATAGGAACACAAGCATCTAAGTAGACTCAAGCTCTCCCTTGCTCCCCACCTGTGACCTTGGATCTTAGTTCAAGGGCACCCCCATGCTACTGAACAGGGTGTTAACAGGCTGGGTTCTCAAGCTTGTGGCCAGGGAGATCAGTGTTGGAACTTCTTTGGTTTTATGACTTCCAAACACAGGGCAGGGCTCCCTTAGCTCCCCGCTCCTCCCAACATCACAGTGTGGATATCGCCCTAGCTTAGGGGCTCACAGGCTCTTGAGCTCTCAACCCATCTGCCTCCCCCATGAGAGGACCCAACAAGTCCTTCTGCAACTCAGAGCCAGAAGCAATGGAGAGCATTGGCAGTCTGTCTCTTCCTGCAGACGAGACAGGCAGAGAGCTACAAGCTCCTGTCAGAGACAAAGGATCAAGAAGTAAGATGGTCTCTTTGGTCACAGGGGCATCTGGACCCGATTCCTGAGAGTGCTACGTGCCAGCCATCTTCCTGTCCTGCCACTGCAGGCACTGATCACTGCCACTGCTCCCCAGACACCTCCTGGATGCAGATCCTCTCTCTGTCTTGACTCCGAGTCCCCAGTGCCACCCCTCCCACCAGGAGCACGGTCCTTCATGCCACTGGCTGCCGTCCCTAGTGAAAGCATAATCCATTAGGCTCTGCCGTGGGCTCCTGAGGAACATGTTGGACAGTTCTGTCCCTCCGGGTTCTACTTCCCACAGCGTCTTCCAGGAGAGGTACCATGTTATGGGACAAAAGGCTGGGACTATTGAGAGAGCATTCTGCCAACAAACCTGTTTACCCAAACAAGAAACATCTCCCAAACCTTATTTCCTCTTTAAACAAAGCCCCAGCTCTCTACCCAGGCTCGCCCAGGTCCACGGTCAGGGCTGTAGACACTTACCT